CCCCTCTCAGAAGACACCCTCCCAGAATCCCAGAACGGCTTCCGCCCCTCCAGAGGAACCGTGGACATGATCTTCACTGCACAACAGCTCCAAGAAAAATGCAGGGAACAAAATCAACCTCTGTACATGGCATTCATCGACCTTGCAAAGGCATTTGACACAGTGAATCACAGCGCTCTCTGGACCATCCTCCAAAAAATCGGGTGCCCTAACAAATTTGTGAACATCCTGCGGCTCCTCCGTGATGACATGATGGCAACAGTCTTGGACAGCAATGGCTCCCAAAGTGACCCATTTAAAGTGGAATCGGGTGTCAAACAGGGATGTGTTATTGTCCCAACTCTATATTCCATCTTCATCACTATGATACTTCACCTTGTTGATGGGAAGCTTCCCACCGGAGTGGAAATCATCTATCGGACAGATGGCAAGCTGTTTAACCTCAGCAGACTGAAAGCCAAAACCAAAGTTACAACAACATCTGTTATAGCACTCCAGTATGCTGATGACAATGTCGTCTGTGCGCATTCAGAAGAAGATCTACAAGCCACTCTAAACACCTTTGCAGAAGTATACGGGAAGCTTGGCCTCACTGAACATTGAGAAAACCAAAGTGCTCTTCCAGCAGTCACCAGTCAATCCCTCTCCAATGCCAGAGATACAGCTTAATGGTGTAACATTAGAAAATGTTGACCATTTCCACTACCTTGGCAGCCACCTCTCCACCAAAGTCAACATCGACACCGAAATACAACACCGCCTGAGCTCTGCGAGTGCAGCATTTTCCCGAATGAAGCAGAGAGTGTTTGAGGACCGGGACATCCGTAGGGATACCAAGGTGCTTGTCTATAAAGCTATTGTCCTCCCCAACCCTGCTATATGCCTGCGAAACGTGGACTGTCTACAGACGTCACATGCAACTCCTGGAACGATTCCATCAGCGCTGCCTCCGGAAAATCCTGCAAATCTCCTGAGACAAGCGGACAAACGTCAGTGTGCTGGAAGAAGCAAAGACCACCAGCATTGAAGCGATGGTCCTCCCATAACTCCGCTGGACCGGCCACGTTGTCCGGATGCCCGACCACCGTCTCCCAAAGCAGTTGCTCTACTCGAACTCAAGAATGGAAAACGGAATGTTGGTGGACAGGAAAAGAGATTTAAAGATGGGCTCAAAGCCAACCTTAAAAACTCTGGCATAGACACTGAGAACTGGGGAGCCCTGGCCCTTGAGCGCTCCAGCTGGAGGTCAGCTGTGACCAGCAGTGCTGTAGAATTTGAAGAGGCACGAATGGAGGGTGAAAGAGAGAAACATGCCAAGAGGAAGGCGTGTCAAGCCAACCCCGACCGGGACCGCCTTCACCTGGAAACCAATGCCCACACTGCGGAAGAAGATGCAGAGCAAGAATAGGGCTCCACAGCCACATGCGGACCCACAAGGAAACCCATAATGGAAGACCATCTTACTCGTCCAACGAGGGATCGCCTAAGTAAGTAAGTTATATTATTATATTTATTGCTATTGTAATATATTTATATGTATTACATTTTATATTATTATATTTATAATCATATTTGTTATTATATTCTTATATTTATTCTTATATTTTTATTAACCAAACAGCATAGGCAAACATCTCAATGAAGGATCCATAGACTGCCATAGAGCTACTGTTATATAATGATAATAATGATAATAGCTATTATTATATATTTATATATTATTATATGTATAATTATACTATTTTATATTGGTTATTATTTAAATATTATTATATGTATATTTATTATACTATTATTTATTATATCAATTATTATATTGTTATATTTATTATCATATTTATTGATAATTTATTGCAATTATCATATATTTATATTTATTATAAATGTATACATATATATGGAAAAGGGAACAGGCCATGCTATTTTGAAAGCCAGGAAAATGTGGATGGGTTTGAAGGCAGAAGCAGAGGTTTTATTTATCTGTCCAGGTGGATGTCAGAGCAGCGTAATTGCTGCTCTGTGAACTGACATCACAAAGCTTTTTCTCCCCTTTCGCAGTGTTAAGGCCTTGAAGCCTCTGAGAATGAGGGGGATTTTTTTTTGTGGAGCCTGAGGTTTTTACCTTTGAGCCTATTACTTCTATGGGGGAAATGAAAATGTTCCTTGAGATGATGGGAATGTTTTGGGTAGATCCATTGTCAAGGAAACAGAAAGTGGTTCTCAAGAGATTCTGCTAGGGACTGACTCTGAAAGAAATGTACAGACAGCAGACAGGAGCTCTGCCTATAACTCAATGTTTAGAGTTCAGAAGAGATAGTGCGAAGCAGAGACACATTCAGTGTTCCCAGAGGCTAACACATAAGCAAAGGGAACCCAGGTGTGAGAAAGATTGATGTCATGGGTAAGAGTTAGAATTTCTTAAGCGATTTGTGCTAATTCTCGTCATGGGATCAAGGTTGGATTTTCATGTGTCCAGTTGCCTGTCTCGGGAGCTTCAAGTTCGGAGTTCTGGTCCTTGGTTTTGTATCTTGTTTTCCTGTTCAAGTTCAATGCCTTTTGAATGTATTAAAAGTCTTAGTTCAAGTTTTCAAGCCTTTGGATAATAGTCATGTTAAAGTTTTTTAGCCTTTGGATATAATTTTGGTTTAAGTGTTAAATTATAGTTGCTTGTTTCTACCTTTTGGGATTTTGGATTCATGCTATTTGTTTAGCTCAAAAATGTCAAGCTGAAAAATGCTTTTTCAGTCTGTTTTTTTATTGTACCCTGGTGATTGCTTAGTCTGCTTAGTATGTGCTGTGTGTATTGAGATTGCCCTGTGTGTGTGTGTCAGAGAGATGTAGTGCTTGGATGATTTTTCCCTCTCTTTGAAACCCCAAAAGAGATGGTTGTAGCTCAGACCCAGTTCTTAACTATTAAGAAATGTAGTTATCATTTCTGTAAATAAACCTTTTGTGGTTTTTAAGATTGGACTCTGCAGGTTTGCATCCAAAGCTCTAAATCAGTGGTTCCCAACCTTTTTAAAGCCAGGGACCACTTGACCAGAGACCACTCTCCAACATTAGTACAAAAGAGGTTACGAATCAGTTTTTGATCAACTTTAGATTCGGTTTGTTTATTTGGGGTGCTGATTCAGAAAATTGCATTGGATAGACCACATCAGCTCTAGTTTCTGATACAGAACATATGCCATCCAGTAGTCTCCATCTGCTCACCCACAGAAAACCATATTTAAGAAGCCTCCGGCACTATAAGAGGGTTTCGCGAGACCAGTCTCTCTTGTTGCAATGGTGTAGTAATGGTGAGGCATCAGACCATATTTTCATTCCTGAGGACCACTGGTGGTCCATGGACCACAGGTTGGAAACCACTGGTCTAAATCCTTTACAGTCACATCACATGGCACTTCAATCTCTGCTTTCTGTGAGCTAATTGCTCAACTATAAGTATCCTGTTTGTATTTTGGATGCTCTGCCATTTTTGGTAGTTTTCCCTAACGAAAAGGGTTATGGATCCAGCACGCTTCCACTGCACACTCTGCGAGCCTCCTCTGTGGCGGGAAAAATGGAGAGCTGCTATTTGTCCGTCTGAAGCTGGAGCCATTTGAAAGAATCACCCAGAAAGGAAAAAGGCTGGACTTGGAAAATGATTATGACCAGGGTGGGATTATAGGGTTTCCAATAGGAGACCAGAGACAAAGCTTATCCAAATATACACACTGAGGAGGAAACATATAACACAATACAGATTTCATTGAGGCACATCTCCTACCTGATAGTTCTGATTAGATTAATCCTCCCAGGAATGTTTGGGGCTGGGCCCAAGGCTCGAGAAGTACGTTATTATTATTAGATGAGGGGAGTCTATCTATCATCTATCTATCTATCTATCTATCTATCTATCTATCTATCTATCTATCTATCTATCTATCTATCATCTATCTATTTCCTTCTCCAGGGATGTTTAAACAGGCTGGATGGCTACTGTTGAGAGGGCTTTGATTGTGTCTTCCTTTATGTCAGAATGGGGTTGAACTGGGTGACCTTTATGGGTCTCTTCCAACTAGGATTCGATGTAGAAAAGAGACCCGTGCTATTCATGATCCCACTGCACAGTCTCGTCTCCAATATATTTGTTATTGCTATTAATATATTTAAGCATGCGCTAAAGCCCCCTCCCCCCGCTGCCCTTAACATCCAAGAAGTGGAGGAAAAGGAGCCTCTGTTTCCCTCCCATAGCTGTCCTCCTTCCTGAGATCCAGAGTTCAAGGTGGAGCAGGTGGGGACAAGTGAGCAAAGTGGCTTGTGACCAAGGCGTGGCAATGCAGGAGTCCGGATGGCGCCGCCAGATTGTGCAATGCTACCTGTAATTAGACATAAGTCCATCAGGAAGGAGCCATTAAATGTAAGTTGTAGGTCAAGAGTGAGGAAGACTGTTTAGGGCATCTACTAATCTGTTCATCCCCCTTCTATTAGCATTATCATTCTCATCCCCAGTTTGGGACTCAAGATGGTTTACAACAGAAACAAAAACAACATATTATTAATATTTATATGATTATTATAATAAAAGATCATAATTATATTATTTATTCATTATTATTATGTCATCATTAGGAATATAATAATAAAATAATACATAATGCATAAATAATAATTGTATTATTATTTATTACTTATAAATATATAATATTAAATAAAAACTATAGTGTTATATTTATGTGACACACTGCTGTGATGGGATATCGCCGTTTGTTTGTTGTTTTGTTCCCAGGAAAGAAGGAAGGGAAATGCTTCTGGGAAAGTCGGCAAAAGTTCGCCCCGAAGGAAGGGGACTTTGAACCCCCTTGGGACAGATAAGGCCTATGGAAATAAATGGTTACTCAATGTGTCCCGGTTGGAAAGACTCCCTGTTAGCCTGTGGCCCATTGGCAAGAGGGGCAAGGGGGCGGGCTTTGTGTTCCTGACTTATTCCTTCCTTCCCCCCACCCCCCCCCCCAGTTCGGACTTTGACCTTTGCCACATCGAAAGAGGCTCTGGCCTGAGCAGAGGAGTGAAGCAGAAGAATAGAGGGACCCATTGCAGTTGACGAGACAACAGGAGACCAGGGATGTGAGTATTGGGGGAGGGATGCCATTGGGACCCCTTTTCCCTTTACGCTATGGGATACCAATCCATGTATAGCCAAGACCAAAGGTCAGAAGGCTTCAGGCAGTGCGTGGAGCACATATAGAATAATAATATACTAATATTATAATTATAATAATAACAACAATAGCAATGATAGTAATAATGTAAACCGAATAGCAAAGGTCAGAAGGCTTCAGGCAGTGTGGGGAACACATACACAATAATAATAATAATAATAATAATAATAATAATAATAATAATAAGGCATTTCCTGAGTTACAACATCACTTGAGAGCCCCAGAATATATACAAAATAATAATATTGTATATATTATAAAAAATAATATATACAATATAAAAATAATATCGTAATGTAATAGTGCTGGTATATTGTATGTAATGTTAATAATGTTGAAATATAATATATTGTATATTGTATACACTACAATTAATGATATTGTATAACATAAATATATAATACTAATAGTGTAATGTACTGATAGTGTGTTATATATATTGTGATATAATAATATAGTACAATATAATAATATATAATATGATAATTGTATATTATATATTACTTATAATATTGCTAGTAATATTGTAGTATAATGTGTTATTTTTTATATAGATGTGGATTTGTTTTTGGGATTTGGGGCGGGGGGGGGGGGGGGGGGGGGGTTGGTTATTTTTTGTCTTTGTTCAGCTTCTCACGGCATTGAATGTTTTCCGGTATCTGTTGGAAACTGCCCTGAGTCCCCTCGGGGTGATAAGACGGGATAGAAATAAATAAATAAATAATAACTCAGAGTTAAAAATGGGTTTGAGACAACAAGAAGTGAGAGAAATCTGCCTGAAAGGGAATATCTCCAGTATTTTTTGCTGGTCGCAGGAGCTCCGTGTACCAAGTTTGGTTCAATTCCAGCTTTGGTGGAGCTCAGAGTGCTCATTAATTGCAGGTGAACTATAAATTCCAGTATGTACAACTCCAAAATGCCCAGGCCAATTCCCCTCAAAACCCTTTAGTATTCAAATTTGGGCATATGAGGTATGCATGCCAAGTTTGGTCCAGATCCATCCTTGTTTGGATTCATAGTGCACTCTGGATGTAGGTGAACTACAACTCCTATAAATCCCTCCAAAGACCTCCAGTATTTTTTGTTGGTCATGGGGGTTCTGTGCGTCAAGATAGTTCTAGGTCCATCATTGGTAGAGTTCAGAGTGCTCTTAGATTACAGGTGAACTATACATCACAGGATCTACAACTCCTGTAAATCAAGGTGAATTCTCCCAAACCTCTCTAGTATGTTCGGTTGCTGATCAATTCCTCTGTTTGTTGTGCACCATATAGAAAAGGGTTAAGGGAGCGGCAATGGGGCAGGGGCGGGGTCATGCAAATTCTACACGAATGGATAGAGTCAGAAACACTGGGATGTTTGTTGTGGAGGAAACACATGAAATCTAGGATGAAATTGTCTCCGTATGAAAGTTTTCACTTGGGTGGTGGGCAGTGTGGTGTTTGTGAAGGACATTGTCAGGGCTCTTGGACATGCTCATGGTGCTCGCTATAACCTGTAATGTCATTGGAGAGAGGGCCACTGATGTCTCCTGAGTAGTGGGAGCTAGAGATGTTTGTGGAGGTAGGTGCTTGTCTGTATAAGTGGACACCCCAGCCACATACACACATACATATTTTCACTTTTATTATGTGTGTGCACACACACACATAAAAATGTATATTACTCAGCACCATGGATGGTTCCTTCAGGATGAAACCCAAGGAGGTTTCCCCTCTATACTAGGAATGCTGTCAGCCCTCCGTATCCTCAGTTTCGACATTCACAGATTCAAACCCACCGCAGCTCAAAGATATTTGTGGGAAAGTATTCCTTCCTGTCCTTTCCTTGGCAGCTTCCTGTTGTTTCCTAGGCCCTCAGCATGACTGGATTGTGTAATGAGACTGTTGTCCCTCTTTCTCATCCCTTCTTTGGTCTCCTTCCATCTCTTGTAGCCATGGCCTCCATTGATGGCATGGAGCTGCTGGACCTCCTCTTTGACCGGCAGGACGGCGTCCTTCGCAGTGTGGAGATGGGCTCCTCCGTGACCCCTTGGATGGGACCAGGCGAACACGTGAGCTCTCTTTAGTGTCATCAACAGGGAGAAAGAAGGGGAATAAAAAAAAAGGGGGGGTGTCCCTGAGAAGTTTCAGTCTGATAAGAAGAAGGGGATTGGAGGAGAGGAGAGAGGTATTTGCATAAAAGGGGGTGTGTCCCTGAGAACTATCAGGATTAGAGGGGAGGATAGAGAGGGATTTCCATAAAAGGGGACAGGTCCCTGAGAAGTGTCAGGGGAGAGGGGAGGGATTTGCATAAAGTGTCAAGGAAGAGAGGAGAGGAGAGGAGAGAGGGATATGAATAAAAGTGGCCATGTTCCTAAAAAGTGTCAGGGGATAGGAGGAAAGAAGAGACAGGGATTTGAATAAAAGTGGGCGTGTCCCTGAGAAGTGTCAAAGGTGAGAAGAAAGAAGGATTTGCATAAAAGTGGGCGTATTCCTGAAAAATATCAGGGGAGAGAAGGAGAGGAGAGAGAGAGGGATTTGAATAAAAGGGGGCGTGTACCTGAGACGCATCAGGGGATTGGAGGAGAGGATAGAGGGGGATTTGCATAAAAGGGAAGGTGTCCCTGAACTTGTTCTCTCCCCTGTAGCTCCTGCCTGAGGGAGAGGGGGACGTGGAGTTCCTGGCCTCCCTGCTGGACTCCCCTGGCTGGTCTCCGTCTGTTAGCGACAGCGGGATCTCGGAGGACCCCCCCTCGGACCACTTGGACAGCCCCCCACATTGCGTCCCCAGTGGAAGCAGCCCGGGGCCCTGCTCTGAGAGAAGCCCACGTGGGGACCGGGCCCACAACAACCCTTTCCAGCCCGTGCTGGTTCCAAAAGACCCAGCCTCCGAGGTGTCCATCGAGTTCAGTGAGTGTCTGTCCAACCGGGCCTGAATTTCGGTCCCTTTCCGAGGTTTTCTTTGTGTATATTGATAATCCAGGCAGCCTATCCTGTTTCAACAGCGCATCCCGAAACGGGCAGAAGAAACTCAACATTTGCTCAAAACCATCTTCAACGTATTAAAGATATTGTATTTCTTCCATTCTAAGACATACTTCTAAGACATAATTAAGACACAGCTTCATTTCAGTACCTCTACCATCAAAAATACATACAACAAACCTGTGATTTATTATTATTATAATTTTATATTTTCTTTAATAGTTATTATTATGATAAGTACTATTAAATATAATAAAAATGTAGTAATAAGATTTATAGTAAGAAATATAATATAAACTATAGTAACAATAATAGTAATAGTATTATTATTATGAGGTTCCCCACTGGTGCAGCTGATTAAACCACTGAGCTTCTGAATTTGCTGACCAAAAGGTCACTGGTTCTAATCCAGGGAGCGGGGTGAGCTCCTGCTGTTAACCCCAGCTTCTGCCAACCTAGCAGTTCGAAACCATACAAATGAGAGTAGATCAGTAGGTACCTATTCTGCGGGATGGTAATGGTGCTCCATGCAGTCATGAGTCATGCTGGCCTCATGACCTTGGAGGTGTCTACGGACAACGCCTGTTCTTTGGCTTAGAAGAGGAGATGAGCACACACACACACACCAGAGTCAGACACAACTAAACTTAATGTCAAGGGGAAACCTTTACCTATTATTATTATTATTATTTAGAAGTATTTATTATTACCATATTCCTTCCATTGTAAGACGCCATCAATGTAAGACATGCCCTAAGTTTTGTACCAACAACAACAGAAATACGTAAGATACATAAGATACACGTGTGATTCCAATGCAGTTTGAACTGGATTACTATGGTCAGTGTACACTCATATAATGCAGATTATCTCCACTGAGATGGTAGAACAGAAGCTCTAGGTGCCCTTACGGCCTACTACGGGGAAAACCAGCTGATCCCTAATCCATCTAAAACACAGACATGTGCCTTTCACTTTAAGAACCGACAAGCATCCCGAGCTCTGAGGATTACCTGGGAAGGAATCCCACTGGAGGATTGCAGCACACCCAAATACCTGGGAGCCACTCTGGACCATGTTCTGACATACAAGAAGCACTGCCTGAACATCAAGCAAAATGTGGGTGCTAGAAACAATATCATACAAAAGCTGACTGGCACAACCTGGGGATCACAACCAGACACAGTGAAGACATCTGCCCTTGCACTATGCTACTCTGCTGCTGAGTATGCATGCCCAGTGTGCAACACATATCACCACACTAAAACAGTAGATGTGGCTCTTAATGAGACATGCCGCATTATCACGGTGTGCCTGTGCCCTACACCACTGGAGAAATTACACTGTTTAGCCGGTATTGCACCACCTGACATTCGCTGGGAAGTAGCAGCCAATAGTGAAAGGACCAAGGCAGTGACATCTCCAGCTCATCACTTGTTTGGGTATCAGCCAGCACGTCAACGACTTAAATCAAGAAATAGTTTTCTAAGATCTACAGAAACACTTGCTGGAACACCTCAGCAAGCGAGAGTCAAAAAGTGGCAGGCTCAAACCCAGAACCTCAACCAATGGCTGATACCAAATGAGAGACTCCCTCCTGGGCACTCAGAAGACTGGGCGACTTGGAAGGCGCTGAACAGACTGCCCCCTGGCACCACGAGATGTAGAGCCAACCTTAAGAAATGGAGCTACAAAGTGGAATCCACGACATGTGAGTGTGGAGAAGAGCAAACCACTGACCACCTGCTGCAATGCAACCTGGGCCCTGCCATGCACAATGGAGGACCTCCTTGCGGCAACACCAGAGGCACTCCAAGTGGCCAGATACTGGTCAAAGGACATTTAATCAACTACCAAGCTTGCAAACTTTGTGTTTTTGTCTGTTTGTTTTTTTTTGTTCTGTTAGAAATGTAATACAATTGTCTGATTGCCCCTGACACGATAAATAAATAAATAAATAAATAAATAAATAAATAGATCCCCACTGAACTGGATAATATGGCAGTGCAGATGCCAGTTCAATGCAGCTCACTCTGCATGATATGAGTCTATACCAACCATTATAATCCAGTTCAAACTGCATCAGAATCACAGTGTTGGGGCTCAGCAACAGGATGCTGGGGATGTTAAGGATTCTGATTCAGAGGGTGAGATTTTCACTGTGTCTGTTGCTAAGGCTGAGTCACAGACAGAAACGCATGCCGTAGATCACAGAGACAGGCAGGGGCGGCTCAACCCATTACGCAAAGTAAGCATTTGCAGTATAGTTGATTTTGCCCAGGGGCGCTCTTGAGGCACTCTTGGGGGGAAATAGACCTTGACATATGCAAGTTGTAGTTACTGGGATGTATAGTTCACCTACAATCAAAGAGCATTCTGAACTCCACCAATGACGGAATTGAACCAAATATGGCACACAGAACTCCCACGACAAACAGAAAATATATATCCGTGATTGGTGGGGGGGGGGGGGGGGGGGGGCAAAATACTGTTTGCTTACCGTTGAAAATTACCTACGGCCGCCTCTGGAGACAGGCCAGGGCTGACAGCTGCAAAAAAGACAGAGGATGTTTCTCTTGAGAATCGGTCTTCCTGGCCTTCTCAGGCATCAGAAAATGGGGAGTTGCCCCATGATATGAGATTAGGTCTCCGTTTGGAGAGAACTAAGGAAAGGTTAATTAGAAGGTTAGAAAGAATCCCGGAGAAAGTCCTTAAATTAGGTGCTGTTTGGGCTCTTTAGAACAGACAACTTCAACTTAAAATCAAGTTCATGACAAGCTCTCAAGTTTGCCTACATTCCTGAATGGGGTTTTGTCTTTTTGTCTTCTTGGATTTCATGTACCTTGCTGTTGTAAATTTCATGTATCTGGCTATTTTGGATTTCATGGACATTACAATCTTTGGACTATTGTTATTTTATAGCACCTTTTCTACTACCTTTTGGGAAATGCCCGTTTTCCCTTTTGTATATGTCCTTTGTAAATAAACTTCTGTAGTTAGCTACTACTGGACTCTGTTTGATGCTGGGTGAAAAGGTCTTCCTGACCTAGTGTGCGACATGCAGGTGTATCTTATGTATTTCTGTCATTGTTGGTACAAAACTTAGGGTGCATCTTACCATCAATGGTGCCTTACAATGGAAGGAATACAGTAATGAAAAATACTACTAAATAATAATAACAACAATGTTATAGCATTAAATATTAAATAAAATATAAAATATAATAATAAATCATAAATGTATCTTATGTATCTTTGTTGTTGGTACAGAAATTAGGGTACATTTTACCATCAGTGGCATTGTACATTGGAAGAGATATGACAGTAAATACTACTAAATAATAAATGCTATTAAGTGTAATATAAAATATCATAATAATAAATTACAGGTGTATCTTATGTATTTTTAATGGCAGCGGAGCTGAAATTAAGGCACCCCTTACCATCAGTGGCATCAATGAAAGAAACACGGTAATAATAAATACTATTAAATAATATTAATTAAAAATAAATACTATTAAGTATAATATAAAAGATCATCATAATCACAGGTGTATCTTATGTATTTTTGTTGTTGATACAAAAATTAGGGCACCTCTTATTGTCGATGGTGTCTTACAATGAAAGAAATATGATAATAATTATAAAAACTATTTATTTATTGTGTCAGAAGCTAATTTAGGGTACAGTTGTAATGTATTTAACAGCACAAACAAGGTTTAAAACTTGGCATTATGCTAAATGTCCAGAAGCTGGCCCTTTTGAGTGTCTCTGGTGTCGCTGTGAGAAAGTCCTCCATTGTGCATGTGGCAGGGCTCAGGCTGCATTGTAGTAGGTGGTCTGGGGTTTGCTCTTCTCCGCACTTGCATGTTGTGGACAGCGCTTTGTAGCCCCATTTCTTAAGATTGGCTGTACATCTTGTGGTGCCAAAGCGCAATCTGTTCAGCGTCTTCCAAGAAACCCAACCTTCTGTGTGCCCAAGAGGGAGTCCCTCAACCAGTTTCAGCCATTGATTGAGGTTCCAGGTTTTTGCCTGCCACTTTTGGACTCTCGCTTGCTGAACTGTTCCTGCAAGTATCTCTGTAGATCTTAGAAAGGCCTTGGCATGTTGGCTGATATCTGAACAGAGGATGGACCAGAGATGTCATGCCTTGGTCCTTTGATTACTGGCTGCTACTACCCAGCGAATGTCAGTTGGTGCAATACCAGCTAAACAGTATAATTTCTCCAGCAGTGTTGGTCATAGACATCCTGTGATAACGCAGCATGTCTCATGAAGAGCCACGTCCACTGTGTCCAGTTGTGATCCCTAGGTTGTGCTAGTCAGCTTTCGAATGATGTTATTTCTAGCACCCACTTTTTACATGATAATCAAACAGTGCTTCTTGTAAGTCAGAGCATGGTCCAGAGTGACTCCCAGGTGTTTGGGTATGCTGCAATGCTCCAGTGTGATTCCTTCCCAGGTAATCCTCAGAGCTTGAGATGCTTGTCTGTTCTTAAGGTGAAAAGCACACGTCTGCGTTTTAGATGGATTAGGAATCAGCTGGTTTTTCCTGTAATAGACAGTAAGAGCACCTAACACTTTGGAGACATTCTGTTCAGCCATTTCAAAGCTCCCTGCTTGGGCGGTTATGGCACCATCATCAGTATAGATTAAACTCTCTGTCCCTTCTGGCAGTGGCTGGTCATTTGTGTAAATGTTAAACATTGATGGAGCAAGCAGCATAAATACTATTAAATTTGCAGCATAAATACTATTAAATAATAATAATACATGCTATTAAATATAATATAATAATAAATCATAGGGGGATCTTATGTATTTTTGTTGTTGGTTCTGAAATTAAGGTGTGTCTTATCATTCATGGGGTCTTAAAATGGAAGAAATGCAGTAGCAAATATAGTATATAATAATTATCAGGTTAACTATTAAAACCACTGGAAAATTACATGTACATTTAGTAGTGGTAGTGATGAAGATGATGATATAAAATCAGCTGTATCATTCAGAGGTACTTTTTCTAATTTATTCTGGCTCCTTTAATCACAGGGAGCCAGAATTATTCTTATTGTTATTATTATTATTATTAATAATAACAATAACATTCCTAATGGCTCGAGGCCTTGTATGCAATAAAATACATAGATGAAAGTAGACCGCTTTGAGTCTCCTCGTGGAGAGAAAAAGCGGGGTATAAATAAACATAATAGTAATAATAAGAGACATGCAAATAGATCTAGATCCCATATTTGAATGTGCTTCAGGATGCTTTCCCTTTCCTTTTCTTGGCAGGTATGTGGGACTCAGGGTTTTATCCGGAGGAAAGGCAAGAACTGGTTACTTCTATTTTGGATTCGCCTTCCTGCACCTTGACCATCAAAGACCTCCTTCTGTCAAACACCTGCGAAATGGTGAGCATTGTTTTCTGTCCAAGGGTCAAATAATAATTATTACAATACTGCGTTTCCTGGGTTATTTTTAAGAAGACTTTTTTTCAATTGTACAAAATGCATAAGGTTGTGGGTGAACTATAACTCGCATCCTGTCATCATTACTTAAAGTCTGTTATGTTGGGCAAGTTTGCTCTCGATGCATCATCTATCTATACACATAATAAAAGTGTACTCTCTAGCTGTAGGGTAAACTTCAGCTCCCACTATGGTGAGTCAGTCCTCTCAAACCCCTCCAGTAGGTTGAGGACTGACTCACCATAGCTTAGTCATGGGGATTCTGTGTGCCAAGTTTAGTCCAGGTCCATCATTGGTGGAGGTCACAGTTTCCCCAACCTCTCTAGTATGTTCAGTTGCTGATCAATTCCTCTGTTTGCTGTGTGCCATAGAAAAGAGTAGGAAAGAGCTAAGGGAGAGGCAGTGGGTGGAGTCATGCGTACCTGGATTTCAGTAAGGCCTTCGACAAGGTCCCCCATGACCTTCTGGCAAACAAACTAGTCCAATGTGGGCTAGGCAAAACTACGGTGAGATGGATCAGTAATTGGTTAAATGGATGAACCCAGAGGGTGCTCACCAATGCTTCCTCTTCATCCTGGAAAGAAGTGACGAGCAGAGTGCCGCAGGGTTCTGTCCTGGGCCTGGTCCTGTTCAACATCTTTATTAATAACTTAGATAAAGGGCAAGAAGGCATGTTCATCAAGTTTGCAGACGACACCAAATTGGGAGGGATAGCCAATACTCCAGAGGACAGGAGCAGGATTCAAAACGATCTTGACAGATTAGAGAGATGGGCCAAAACTAACAAAATGAAGTTCAACAGGGACAAATGCAAGATACTCCACTTAGGCAGAAAAAACGAAATGCAAAGATACAGAATGGGGGACAGCCTGGCTCGAGAGCAGTACGTGTGAAAAAGATCTTGGAGTCCTCGTGGACAACAAGTTAAACATGAGCCAACAATGTGATGTGGCGGCAAAAAAAGCCAATGGGATTTTGGCCTGCATCAATAGGAACATAGTGTCTAGATCTAGGGAAGTAATGCTACTATTCGCTTTGGTTAGACCACACCTGGAATATTGTGTCCAATTCTGGGCACCACAATTCAAGAGAGATATTGACAAGCTGGAATGTGTCCAGAGGCGGGCGACTAAAATGATCAAGGGTCTGGAGAACAAGCCCTATGAGGAGCGGCTTAAGGAGCTGGGCATGTTTAGCCTGAAGAAGAGAAGGCTGAGAGGAGATATGATAGCCATGTATAAATATGTGAGAGGAAGCCACAGGAAGGAGGGAGCAAGCTTGTTTTCTGCTTCCCTGGAGACTAGGACGCGGAACAATGGCTTCAAACTACAAGAGAGGAGATTCCATCTGAACATGAGGAAGAACTTCCTGACTGTGAGAGCCGTTCAGCAGTGGAACTCTCTGCCCCGGAGTGTGGTGGAGGCTCCTTCTTTGGAAGCTTTTAAACAGAGGCTGGATGGCCATCTAGCAGAGGTGATTTGAATGCAATATTCCTGCTTCTTGGCAGGGGGCTGGACTGGATGGCTCATGAAGTCTCTTCCAACTCTTTGATTCTATGATTCTATGCAAATTCCACACCAATGGATAGGGTCAGAAACACTGGGATGTCTGTGGTGAAGGAAACACATGAAATCTAGGGTGAAATGGTCCCTGTATGAAAGCCTTCACTTGGTGGTGGGAAGTATGGTGTTTGTGGAGGACATTGGCAGGGCTCTTGGGCATGTTCATGGCGTTCACTATAACCTGCAATGTCATTGGAGGGAGGGCATTGGCGTCTCCTAAGTAGTGGGAGCTGTAACTGTTTGTGGAGGCAGGAACTTGTAGGTGTAAGTGGGCACCCCAGCCACATACACACATATATATTCACTTTTATTATGCGTATAGATAGATGATAAATTTATAGCAGTATCTGCACTGGAACAGTGTATCACTTTGATAGTTATTAAACCTCTCTCGAGATTTTTAAACAGAGGCTGGATGGTCAGCTGTCTTTTAATATTTCTTTATTTTTTTACTTTTTCGTTTCCTTCTTTCCCTCTTCTTATTGCGTTACAGTCTCTATTTGTCCCTTTCAAATCACAATTTCTTTTCTTTTTTTTTCTCTTAAATATTCGGTAACTTCTTTCCAGTCTGTTTCTTTTCTTCTTATTTCTTTGTTTTTCAATAGTAGGAATGTAAGCCTATCCAGATTTCTAATTTCTAACATTTTTATTATCCAGTCTTCCTTTTTTGGTATCTCTTCTTGTTTCCATTTTCTGGCAAAGCACATTCTTGCAGCAGTTAGGGCTAAGAATAGAATTTTATCTTTATCTTTTTCCAAATTCCTATCGTATATTCCTAATAAAAATAGCTCTGGTTTCAGTGGTACTTGCATCTTTAACATATTTTGAATTTCTTTTTGTATTATCATCCAATATTCTTTTGCTTTATCACAAGTCCACCACATGTGGTAATATGAACCTTCTTTTTTTTACATTTCCAACATGTCGTGCTTGTATTGTTATATATTTTTCCCAATTTTTTCGGGGTCATATACCACCTTTGTGACATTTTGACCCATTTTGGAGGGAATAGACCTTAGTTTGGGGAGGGGGGTGGCACCTTTATATTTGGTATAAAGGGAAAGACAAAGAAAAAAATTTCAGAAACCACTTCACAAGATCAGCAATCCTAAACATATGGGAGAAATATAAGACAAAAATGTACAGTAAAACACCACTATGGATATCACCCTTAGAGGCGGGACAGAGGAGATGCATGGGGTGGAATGATTGGCCAGACTATAAAGAAATATTGAAAAACAAACAAGGAGAATTGGTAATAAAAGAGCAACATGAATTAAACACCATAGATAAGAAAATAACCTGGCTGCACAAGGAAAAGGATTTTGGGACAAAATTATGGAAACGGAGAAGAAATTAATAACAAAGGTATACAAGAAATTATTAGAATGGTATATGGAACCAAAAGAAGAGAAAAATTACATGAAAAGATGGAACGAAAATATACAAAGAAAGATAAGAAAAGAGGAATGGGAGGAAATCTGGAAGAGAAGGCTAAAGTTTGCTTATGCATCAAATTTGAGAGATTCTATAGCCCTATTTCTCCATGAACTTGTTATGAGGCTGAATGAACATCTGTCAGGGGGGCTTTGATGGTGATTTGTTGGTGCCTGGCTGAAGGGGGTTGGAATAGAGGACAGGGAGCCTTTTTCGTAGGACACACCTAGGGCCTATGGGTGACATACAGTTTGGAAAGCTCTGCTCTATAATTGGGGAAAGCCCTGGTCTCATGTTCTCCAAGGGCCTAATAATAATAATAATAATAATAATAATAATAATAATAATAATAATAATAATATAACAAATAATAATAATAGTGCTAATACTACTACTAATATACTAAGAATGATAATATAAATATAATTATAATATAATACACTAATACTACTACTACTAATATAATACTACTATGAATACTAATAATAATTAAAAGAATAATATTAATAAGCAATAATAATAAAATAACAAAAATAGTAACATAATAAAAATAATAAAGCAATAATAATAGAACAAATAAGAATATTATTATATAATAAATATGATTACCACTACTAATGTACTAATAATATAATAATAATAGAAATATAATCTATATAAATAAAAATGTAATGTTCGTTTGTGGGATTAACAGAACTCAAAAACCACTGGCGAATTGACACCAAATTTGGACATGAGACACCTAACAACCCAATGTATGTCCTTCACTCAAAAAATTGATTTTGGTCATTTGGGAATTGTAGTTGATGGGATTTATAGTTCACCTACAATCAAAGAGCATTCTGAACTCCACTAATAATAGAATTGGACCAAACTTGGCACACAGTTCTCCCATGACCAACAGAAAATACTGGAAGGGTTTGGTGGGCAGTGTCCTTTGGTTTTGGAGTTGTAGTTCACCTACATCCAGAGATCACTGTGGACTTAAACAATGATGGATCTGGACCAAACTTGGCACAAATACTCAGTATGCCCAAATGTGAACACTGGTGGAGCTTGGGGAAAATAACCTTGACACTTGGGAGTTGTAGTTGCTGGGAGTTATAGTTCACTTACGATCAAAGAGCATTCTGAACTCCACCAACAATGGAATTGAACCAAACGTGGCATACATGACTCCCATGACCAACAGAAAACACTAGAAGGGTTTGGTGGACATTGACCTTGAGTTAGGGAGTTGTAGTTCACCCACATCCAGAGAGCACTGTGGACTCAAACAATGATGGGTCTAGACCAAACTTGGCACGAATATTCCATATGCCCAAATATGAACACAGATGGAGTTTGGGGGAAATAGACCTTGACATTTGGGAGTTGTAGTTACTGGGCTTTATAGTTCACCTACAATCAAAGAGCATTCTGAACTCCACCAATGATGGAATTGAACCAAACATGGCATACAGGACTCCCATGTGTGCCACAGCAACGCGTGGCAGGGTAGTAATATGAATAATATAATAGATTACTATGACTACTAAAGAAATACTACTACTATAATAATAAAGCAATACTAATACTAATAAAATACTATTACTGATTATAAAATAATAAGTAATTATTAAAATAATAAAATAATATTAGTAAGTAATAATAAAAATAATAAATATTATATAATAATAATAATATAATTTTATTTATTACTTGCCTTTTCTTCTGGCTCAATGATACTTCCATTGGGCTTTAGCGCAGCAGGTTAGCCACCAGCTACAGTAAATCTTGCCAATCGAAAGGTTGACAGTTTGAAGCCTGGGGTGAGCTCCTAGCCTTTAGCCCAGCGTCTGCCTACCTAGCAGTTTGAAAGTAAAATTGTGAGTAGATAAATAGGTACCGCTTAAAAACAGGGAGGTATTTAAGGCACCCATAAGGAAATGCCAGAAAATGCCGGCAATTTGATCAAGGAGGAAGTTTACGAACAAAGCTCTTTAGCAGGAAAGATGGAGTGACAGCACCACCACCACTCCCCCCCCCCTGGCAGAACCAAGCACAAGCCTCCAAGATGCCGAAGATGGGAAAAGCTTGTATATACCCTTATCTATGTACAATTGTCTGTCATGTCATTGTATTAAATGTTTGCTGCATATGTGTATTCTGTGATCTGCCCTGAGTCCCCTTCGGGGTGAGAAGGGAGGAAAATAAATACTGTACATAAAAAATTAAAATATATCATAACGCTCTTGCGATGTGTTCAGCATCCGCAGGCTCTGACCGCATCAGTGGCAAGGCAAAGTGGCTGTGCGATGCCCCAGGAACTGGTGCTGACAGAGGACGAGCGGAAGCTGCTGGCCAAGGAGGGTGTGGCACTGCCCTCCCAGCTGCCCCTCACCAAGGTAAGCAGGGTGTCCACCCCACAGCTTCCCTACTGAAAGTCAGCCCCAAGGCTCTATCCTTTGAAGGCTAAACCCACCTCGAAAGATGTGGTCCTAACAGGTTGTTCCCTTTGTGCTAGTATGAAGAGCGGATCCTGAAGAAGATCCGCAGGAAGATCCGGAACAAGCAGTCAGCACAGGAGAGTCGGAAGAAGAAGAAAGAATACATCGACGGTTTAGAGAGCCGGTTAGAATAATAATAATAATAATAATAATAATAATAATAATAATAATAATAATAATAATAATAATAATAGATTACCTAATAATAATAATAGATTTATTCATTATTATTATTATTATTATTATTTAATAGATTTTATTTACATACAATAACAATTTACAGTGTAAACAAAACACAAAACAGTGAACATTTTACAAACACATAACCCCACCACCAAGGCCTGAACAAGTATCCTTTCCTTCACCCTGTATTTATAAATCAACCATTAATCAAATGTCATATCCAAAATTCCTGACCAACAAAGTTCTGTTGTTTTCCATTTTTGCTCTCTAAGGCATATTTAATGAAGACCGACCAGTATACCTCAAAATCTGATCTGTTAATTTCCCCTCTGAATACCCTCATTTCCATTGTTAATTTATCATTTAAGGCTTATTATTATTATTATTATTATTATTATTATTATTATTATTAAACTGAGGCTGGGTGGCCATCTGTTGGGAGGGCTTTGATTGTGCCTTTTCTGCCTGGACTGGCTGGCCCCTTGGGTTCTAACTAAGGGGTGCAAATACTCAGGATGGAAAGTAGACTTGGCATGTGCTTAGAAAACGGGGCATGTCCCTGAAAAGTGTCAGTCTAACAAGAAGAAGGGGATTGGAGGAGAGGAGAGAGAGAGAGGTTTGAATAAAAAGGGGCATGTCCCTGAAAAGTGTCAGGGGATAGGAGGAGAGAATAGAGAGGGATTTGAAGAAAAAAAAGGGGGGGGGTCCCTTCGAAATGTCAGGGGAGAGGAGAGACTAGATGGATTTGAATAAAAAGGGGCGTGTCAGGCTAACAAACAAATGGGAGGAGAGAACAGAATGACAGGCAGACGGAGGGAAATCTTAATTCATCTGCCAATGAGGGAAAAGCTAATTGATCTGCGTCTTAAGTCCTCAAGGAACTGCTCTGAGTCCCCTCGGGGAGATGGAGCGGTATATAAATAAAGTTTTGTTATTATTATAATGAGGACTACAAACTTGTCCAGGACATGAACGAGCCCAAGCACACCTCCCCTTCCACTCTCCTTCCAGGATGTCTGCCTGCACAGCCCAGAATCAGGAGCTGCAAAGGAAAGTGGTCCATCTGGAGAAGCAGAACCTGTAAGTCCTACCCAGGGCATTGTGGGATACCCCTTTCTTTCGATTGGATGGTGGGGCATGTAAATAAGACCTAACCGTAAAATAAGCCCTAGCATGCTGCTCGTAATATATGCCCTACCTCCAAAATAAGCCCCAGTTAAGATTGATAGTCGGACGGATGCATTTAGTAATAATAATAATAGTAATAGTAATAATAATAATAAGTTGGACATGTAATCGGAGGGTTTCCTATCTCCTCTGGCCCACAGGTCCCTCCTCCAGCAGCTGAAGAAGCTTCAGGGCCTGGTGATGCATTCCAGCAGCAAGGCAGCTCAGACCAGCACTTGCATTGCGGTGAGTGGCGATGCTGTGGAGAGGCCTTTTCCCCTTGTTTGAAAAAGGGGGTGCTTGACCCTGCTCTTTCCCTCCCTTTGCAGGTCCTGCTTCTGTCCTTCGCCCTGATCATCTTTCCCTCCTTCAGCGCCTTCAACCGCAAGGAAACACAGGCTGGAGGAGACTTCCTACCGGTGAGAGGTGAGCGCCAAGCCAGAGAGCTGGGGAGGGACCCTAAAGGTCATCCAACTGGTCCAACCCCTTCCTGCTAAGATACCATCTGATCCCTCCTGACATTTGGCTGTCCAGCTTCATAGACATTAGCGGGTTTATGAAATATCTATAGAATCATTGAATCCTAGAGTTGGAAGAGATCCCACATATCATCCAGTCCAACCTCTTCACCGATTAAGGAAAAACAAAATCCCTCTTGACAGATGGCCATCCAGTCTCTGCTTCAAAGCCTCTACAGATCTTTTAGGAGTACAAAAGTTAAAATACAAAACAATTAAATTAAAAAACAAAAAAAATCCTGATTGATGTAGGCTGGCAAATCCAGATTTATATTATTATTATTATTATTATTATTATTATATCATTATTTGATAATAATAATAATATTATTATTATTATTATTAGCCTTTATGGAGCTCTCCAAGGTGCTGAGTGCTATTCCCCACAATGCTAAGTGTCTTGGAGAACTGCCATTTTGGGCAAGCAGTAAAATGTGTTGTTGTTGTTATATAATTATCATTATCATCATTATTATTCGAAGCCATTAAGGAGCATTAGATCCGAGTAAATACACTAATCCTGACCAGTCTGACACAAAGTAAAGCTTGGGTTGCTGTGAGCTTTCCGGGCTGCCTGGCCATGTTTCAGAAGCATTATCTCCTGACGTTTTGCCCACATCTATGGCAGGCATCCTTAGAGGTTGTGAGGTGTGTTGAAAACTAGGCAAGTGAGGCTTATATATCTGTGGAATGTCCAGGGTGAGATAAAAAACTTTTGTCTGCTTAAGGAAAGTGTGAATGTTGCCATTAGGCACTGTGGCTAGCATTGAATAGCTTTGCAGCTTCAAAGCATGGCTGCTTCCTGCCTGGGGGAATCCTTTGTTGGGAGGTATTAACTGGCAATTTGATTGTCTGGAATTTTTTGAGTTTTTTCTTTATTTACTGTCCTTATTTTTGAGTTTTTCAGTACTGGTAATCAGCATGCATTTATTTTCATGATTTCCTCCTGTCTGTTGAAATTGTCCACATGCTTCTGGATTTCAGTGGCTTCTCTGTGTAGTTGTTACAGTGTTTCAGCATTTCTGTGTTCTCCAATAATATGCTGTGTCCAGGTTGGTTCTCTTCTATGGATGACTTCTCTGGTTGTATTAGTCTGCAGTGCCTTTCATGCTCCTTGATTTGGCGTCTGGGCAATGCTGCTGCGTTTTGGGGGTCCCTATGGAGACTTGTCCACAGTTGCATGGTATATGCTAGACTCCTGCAAAGGTGAGAGGATCCCTCTTGTCCCTTGCTGAACAAAGCATTTGTTGGATTTTCTTAGTGGGTCTCTAGATTATTTGAAGGTTGTGTTTCTTCATCAGCTTCCCCTGATGTATGGCAAGAACACTTTTCCTCTGGGTGGATCTTTGTCTTGACTCTTGTGGCTTGTTCTCGGTCTTGCAGCTCTTCTGATGTTTGTGGTGGAGTCTCCATTGGCCTATAGAGCCCAGTTTAGGTGGTTCCATTCACCTTGGAGGAGGTGGGCTTCTCAGATTCTTTTTTGCACAGCCTGCCAGGGCTCTAATTGTGCTTCTTTTTTTACTTGGGTGATGGTTCATTTTCCTTTTGGATGTCTGGGTGGATGCTGTTGAGGTGGTCCAGGAACTTGTGAGTTCTTCTTCTCCATGGCTCCAAATGGTGAGCCATTAAGAAGAAAAAGAACTCCCACCCTGGACATTATTGAACACATTATTATTGGAGAACACAGAAATGCTGGACCACTCTCACAACTACCATGTCAGAGTATACAGAGAAGGCACTGAAATCCATAAGCACGTGGACAATTTCAACGACTGGAGGAAACCATGAAAACAAACACAATCTGGCTCCCAGTATTGAAAACCTCCAAAACCAGGAGAGTAAATAAAGAGCAAAACTCAGAAAACAGGGGAATTACAAACAGGAAACAATCAAATTGCCAGTTAATACTTCCCAGCTAAGGATTCTTCCAGGCAGGAAACAACCAGGCTTAGAAGCTGCAAGGCTATTCAATGCTAATCAAGCTGGCCAATTGCAACATTCACACTTTCCTCAAGCAGACAAGAGTTCTTTCTCCCATGCTGGACATCATTCCACAGATATATAAACCCCACTTGCCCAGTTTTCAACAGACCTCACAACCTCTGAGGATGCCTGCCATAGATGTGGTCGAAATGTCAGGAGAGAATGCTTCTGGAACATGGCCAGACAGCCTGGAAAACTCACAGCAATTCAGTGGTTCCGGCCATGAAAGCCTTCGACAACACAAAGCAAAGCTTGGTTCCAAAACTCAGCCCTAGGATAGCACTGGAAAAACTGGAAAAACGCCACTTGGTTCTGTTGGGTGGGACTAGATGGTTACCGCCCAACACAATGGTGACACTCCTTCCCTTGCAGTCTTTTCCAGGTCACTCCACGATGATGCTTCATCCAGAGTGGCCTTCTCCCTGGACAAGGGCCCAGCCACAGACCAAGAGCCAGAGAAGAAGTCGCTGCAGCCTCCCCTCTGGACTGAATACGCCCAGGAAGGCCCCCCAGAAGAGAGCCCCTTCTTCTCACGGCTCCGGAAGAGCGGAGTGGTGGCTCTGGGCAATGGCACCATCCCCAAGGAGAGCCGGGCAGACTTCGAGGGGCACAGTGTGGCAGCTGTGGCCTGGACGGAGCCCAATGCCTCTGGGAAGATCATCCTAGAACCAGCTGAAGAGCTGTAACCCCCCTCCCCCCTTTTTCTTTCTCTCTGGGGACTTTGATGAGATTTGGGGAGGGAGGCAGTCAGGGTGTGTATATATTTGCAAGGAGGGAAAGCCACCCATCCCAAAAGTGAGTCGTAGAAGCCTAGGGTTGTATATCGTCTACCATTGCAGTAGTTCCACAGTTCAGCTTTTGTTGCCAGCAGTAGAGCTATTGAGCTTCAGCAATTTCAGGAGCAAAGTCAAGTTTTAGAAGTTATAGAAGACTTTATTGAAAGAACTACATTTCTATATAGGAAAGTTAAGGCTTAGCTATCAAAATATCTAACTCTCTGAAGGAGACATCTTGCCTCTCTCCGGGTTCACAGGAATAGAAAAGAGGCAGTGCAGCAAATCAGAAACTTCTAGTGCCAGCAGTAGAGCCATTGAGCTTCAGCAATTTCAGGAGTGAAGTCAATCTCTCTCTCTCTCTCTCTCTGGAGATATCTTATCTCTCTCCATGCTCACAGGAGAAGGAAAGAGGCAGTGCAGCAGTAGAGCCTTTGAGCTCTAGCCATTTACAGGAGATTTTATTGAAAAAACTATATTTCCATATAGGGAAGTTAAGGCCTAGCTATCTCACTATCTCACTCTCCCTGGAGGCATCTTGCCTCTCTCCATGCTCACGGTAGGACATAAGTGGCCATTTAGCAGATCAGAAGTTTCTAGTGCCATCAGTAGAATCATTGGGCTTCAGCCATTTACAGGAGGAGAGTCAAGCTTTAGAAGTTATAGAAGACTGTATTGAAAGGGAAGTAAAGGCCTAGCTATCTCACTATCTCTCTGAAGCAGACATATGTCCTCTCTCCAGGCTCACAAGAGGACAAAAGAGGCAGTTAGCAGAACAGAAGCTTGTATTGCCAGCAGTAGAGTCACTAAGCTCCAGCAATTTGCAGGATACATTATTAGAACTACATTTCCATACGGGGAAGTTAAGGCCTCGCTTCCTCACAATCTAGCTCTCTGAAGCAGACATCTTGCCTCTCCAGGCTCACAGGAGGCAGCTCTTCAGCTCAGAAGTTCATAGTGTCAGCAGTAGAGCCTCTGAGCTTCAGCCATTTACAGGAGACTTTATTCAAAGAATTCCATTTCTAGACAGGGCAGCTAAGGCCTATCTCACAATCTAGCCTTCTGCAGCAGACATCTCGTCTCGCTCCAGGTTCATAAGAGGCAGATTAGCAGATCAGAAGCTTCTATTGCCAGCAGTAGAGCCATTGAGCTTCAGCAATTTACAGGAGCAAAGTCAAGCTTGAAAAGACTATTCAGAGGGCTACATGACAAAATAGGAAAGTAGGCAAAGCTCTTAGACAAAAGGAGCGGCTTTTATTCTTGTTGGGTATGATTTGCAAAAAAGGAAAAAGCATTCAAAAATAGTAAAGTAACAGCAGCAGTTGAGAAGCTTCTAGTGCCGGCAGTAGAGCCATTGAGCTTCAGCAATCGGGGAGCATAGTGAAGTTTTGTATGTTATTAAAGGCTTTATTGAAAGAACTAAATTTTGAGATAGGAAAGTTGACAGGGGGCCTAATTATCTAACTCACAGTTGACATCTCATCTCTCCATGCTCACTGGGAGAAAACGGGCTTGCCATGTGCTCAGAAAAGCAACAGTCTAACGAACTAATAGGAGAGAATATATTGACTCAGAGGTTTCTTCTTCTTCTACATCCCATATAAGAAGAAAGAACATCCATGTAATGATTTATGTTAAATGTGTTGTGTGTAAAATCTAAACCAGTGATCCAAGTCCTGCAGTCTGCCGTGTCAGTGTTTAATATGTTTGGTTTCTTCTCTGTTGTGGCTTGTGAGCTTCCAAGCCCCAACCCACTTATTCAAAGGGAACATAGCGCTCAACAGGCTCCAGGGATCACACTGTTTCTTCCTTCTGTTAACAATAATAATGGATCGGTCTTATATAATGCTGCTGTTCCCGCAGAGGTAACCATGGACACAAAGCACCACATCCGGCACAAAATTCAACTTGTCTTCTTCTTCTTTTTTACTGCATCAATATAATGGCAAGTTAGAACTGAGAATGGGGGAATAATAATAATTTGTGTTCCTGTTTTTATTGACTTCATGACTCATTCATCACATTAGGAATCCATCCCAATACATGCCTTATTTCTTCCCATTAGGGTGGGATGCCTAATTTATACACATAATAAATGTGAAAATATGTATGCGTGTATGCAGCTGGAGTGTCCACTTACACAGACAAGCTCCTACCTCCACAAACAGCTATAACTTCCACCACTCAGGAGACACTAAAGGCTCTCCCTCCAATGACATTGCAGGTTACAGTGAGTGCCATGAATATGTCCAAGAGCCCTGCCAATGTCCTCCACAAATACCATCCTGCCCACCACCCAAGTGACGGCTTTCATACGGGGACAATTCCATCCTAGATTGCACATTTCCTCCACCACAGGCATTCCATTGGTGTGGAATTTGCATGACGCCATCCACTGCATCCCCCTTAACCCTTTCCTATGGCATGCAGCAAACAGAGGAATTGATGAGCAACTGAACATACTAGAGAAGTTTATGGAGATTTCACCATGATTTATAGGAGTTGTAGGTACTGAGATGTATAGTTCACCTGCAATCTAAGAGCATCTGAACTCCACCAACAAGGGACCTGGAGCTAACTTGGCACACAGAACCCCCATGATCAACAAAACAAACTGGAGATCTTTGGAGGGATTTAGAGGAGTTGTAGTTCACCTACATCCAGAGAGCACTGTGAATCGAAACAAGAATGGAGCTGGATACTCTATATGCCCAAATTTGAATACTGGTAGGTTTTGAGGGGAATTGGCCTTGTCATTTGGGAGTTGTAGGTACTGGAAATAATAATACAATAATATTGTGTCCCTGCTTTTATTGACTCTATTCATCCCAATGCATGCCATATTTCTCCACAAATTATTGGCTACCTCCTTGCTTTTCCTTCCAGCTCTATGACTATTTAAGAGGAGGAATTTGCACAAATGGAGAGAAGGAACGCTGGCGACAAAAGTTATTCCTTGCAGTGTTCTTTTATAGCAATGGCACGACTAGGGAGCCAAATCAAGGAAGCAGGATAGTAATAATAACACTGAGTACATATGATCTTTGGATGTCATATGCTTTTGAGGCCTTTTCCATTCACCCCAAGGCAAATCCTATGTGTGCCTTTGAACTGAGGGAGTGTGCCTTCCCCACACATTACTGAACGACATACGGCTATATCCCAATTGATGATGGGGATGATGGGAATTGCAACCCAACGGCCCTTGTGGCTTCAAGGCTGGGGAAAGGCTCAAGGGTGTTGCAAAGCCAGGCATCCTCTACACAAGCCTTGCACCTGAATCCAAACCCCACTCTCCCAACTCCCAGATGTTCTGTATCACATCTCCCATCTGCTTGAGTCATGATGTCTAAGGATGAAGAAGATGGGAGTTGGAGTCCGGCAACTGGAGGAGGGTTGCATCAAAGGAAATAATGGGCTGGATTCGTCCCGCGGGCCTTGAGTTTGATGTGTGGGCCCAAATCCCAAAGGAGGAAACTCATGCATCCTGCCCTTTCCTCGGGGCAGTTTCCCAGTGAGAAAAACTTCACTACAAGGGTGATAGTAGATGAGGCAGAGTCTTTAAAAAAGTCACAACGGGTTTCCACCCAGACATACATACAAAGGCAGCGCAAAGACACAGAGCTGGAGGGAGGGAAGAATGGAGGGTCCGTCAGGAAGGGAGCAGCTCGAGCTTGAATCGCTTGGCATCCGGAGCACAAGGCTCCTTTTTGGGGAGAGCCATGCTGTTGCAAAGTGGGGCCTTCTCCTCTTTGGTGCACAGTGGGACGTCAGTGGCAGGCTTGGCCTCGTCCAGTGCTGCCATCGTCCATTTGGGGATCTCCAGCCCCAGGAGCGTCATCAGCTTGGTCATGACTTCGTCCACGTAGGCGTGGATGCGCAGGTCAGCATGCTTGTCCTTGGAAACGGGGAAGAGACACATAACATTATTATTATTTAGTGTAATTGATGTCAACTTGACTTGGACTTTTAGGTGGACATTAATCACATAAAATAATATTAATCATATTATTATTATTATTATTATTATTATTATTATTATGATGTGTGATTGAAGTGTACCTGCCTCCGACTTTTAGCTGGACATTAATCACATAAAATAATAATAATAATAATAATAATAATAATAATAATAATAATGATCTATAGAAATAAAAATGTAAATGTTCAAACCTTAATGTTCAAAACTTTAAATCTCCCAAAATACTTCACCAATTGCTTTGAAATTTTGACACAACATAGCATTTGAATAGGCACATTCCTACTTTTATATAGATGTCACACTTGTGACAGGTAAAAATATGCTTTTTTTCAAAAACAGCACCATCTGTTGGACATAAAAGCAACACATACTATACTACATATTTTACAATTCTATTTCAATCTTTCTGAATGCATTGCTACATTGATTTTTCACAGGTTTCAATTTAATTTTAATTTTGATTTAATTGCATTGGAATTGAGATGTATCATTGACCGCAACGTTCATTTTGAGAGTACAGTTTATTGTTGTCCTTCGCTTTGGTGCTGCTTGCTCTGCCCTGAAGGGGGCGGAATTGCACGGAAGCCCGCGGTGGGGGTGGGTCTTGGGGTCGCGCCTTCCCGTTCCCCCATCAACGCTGCTTCTCTGCCTCAGTCCAAAGTTGGGTCTGAGGGAGAGGGAGCGCGCCTTGGCCACTCACCCAGGCCACCTTGGACAGGTAAGGCAGGTCTTGCCTCTTGGGCTCAGTGTGTTTATTTGGATGCGTGGGCAAGTGCATTACACCTCCTCCATTCAGTTTCCCTAACTTCAAAGTCCCTCTTTTTAAAAAGCCCTAATCTGAGGGGGGCCGGCCTTCCTTCCTGCTTCTCTCCTCCAATGCCACCCCCGACCTCAGGAATGCCACTGTATGTTTATTATTTACTAGCCATCCCCTGCCACGCGTTGCTGTGGCCCACATGGGGGTTCTGTGTGGGAGGTTTGGCCCAATTCTATCGTTGGTGGGGTTCAGAATGCTCTGTAATTGAAGGTGAACTATAAATCCCAGCAACTACAACTCCCAAATGTCAAGATTCTATTTTCCCCAAACTTCACCAGTGTTCATATTTGGGCATATTAAGTACTCATGTAGAGTTTGGTCCAGATCCATCATTGTTTGAGTCCACAGTGATCTCTGGATGTAGGTAAACTACAACTCCAAAACCAAAGGACACTGCCCACCAAACCCTTCCAGTATTTTCTGTTGGTCATGGGAGAACTGTGTGCCAAGTTTGGTTCAATTCCATCGTTGGTGGGGTTCAGAATGCTCTTTGATTGTAGGTGAACCATAAATCCCAGCAACTACAACTCCCAAATAACAAAATCAATTTTTTTGAGTGAAGGACATACATTGGGTTGTTAGGTGTCTTGTGTCCAAATTTGGTGTCAATTCATCCAGTGGTTTTTGAGTTCTGTTAATCCCACAAACGAACATTACATTTTTATTTATATAGATTTCACTGGGGCTCCTTAGGGCGCCCTGTGTCTTTCTTTAGGCTCCTTCCACACAACCCTAAGAAATGGGGCTACAAAGTGGAATCTATGACATGCAAGTCATAGAGAAGAACAAACCACAAACCACCTACTACAATGCAACTTAAGCCCTGCCACATGCACAATGGAGGACCGTCTTATAGCAACACCAGAGGCACTACAAGTGGCCAGCTACTGGTCAAAGGACATTTAATAGAATGCCAAGTTTGCAAACATTATGTTTTCTTTTTAAAACAACAACAACAATAAATGAGTGATGTGAACTTGGCTCGGACTTTTAGGTGGACATTAATTAAATAGTAATGATGATAATAATAATAATAATAATAATAATAATAATAATAATAATAATAATGTGTGATTGATGTGTACTTGCCTCAGACTTTTAGGTGGACATTAATCACTAATAATAATAATAATAATAATAATAATAATAATAATAATTGATGTGAACTTGCCTCAGACTTATAGATGGGCATTAATCACATAATAACAACAACAACAATTTTGGCCTTTGTGGTCTCTTCCAACTCTAGGATTCTACAGGTGCCTCCTTATTGCCCAATGAGGTTTGACACCCTTGTAATGGCTGAGATTCCATCCCATGGAATTGTGAGATTACAGCTCAGTGTCCTCTGTTACTGAGCTATAAGCCTAGCAGAGACACTTTAAGCACTTCCCCAAATGACAGGACTTCATCAGAAGGGAGGTGTGACAACAGAGCTGATGTCAAAACTGCTCTAACGGTGCTGCATGGATACACAACTTTAGTAATGCCTACAAAGGGCCACGTCATTTGAATGACTTGGAATCGTAGAGTTTAGTGGGACCGACCCCAAGGGCCATCCAGTCTAACCCCCTTCTTTCTGGCAGGCAGGAAAAGCAAAATTCGATCCCTCCTAACAGATTGTCATCCAGCTTCCATTGGACGCTGAGGCAGAGAGTTCCACTGTTAAAGAGTTCTTCCTGATGTTGAAGTGGGATCTCTTTTCCTGCCACTGGAACCTGTGGCTCCGTTGGGGCAGAAAAGGAAACCAGGCCTCCCCGCTCTTCCTTAGGACGTCCCTGACTGGTTCTACATAATAGGGCTTTACTGGTCAGGCTTATGGAGAAGGGAGCAGGGGTGTCACTCACATGTTTGGTGGGCTGGAGGTTGACGATGACCAGCCGGCCGCCCTTCCGCTTGGTCAGCAGAGGCAGGTCCCCACTGGGCTTGATCTGCAAGGAAGTCCCCAACGTGATGGAGAGGTCGGCCTTCCTGCAAGAAGGAAAGGAAAGGAGCCATGAAGAGGCAACAAAGGCTTTCCAAACAAGGAGGGCCTTTCTCTAGCCCCTCCAAAAATTACATAGTGTTATAATTATAAAACAGGGCTGTGACTATTATGCGAAGAAAAAAACCCCAGACATTTCTGAGATGGATCTCTATTCTGAGACAGATCTCTATAACTCTATTCATCCATCTCACCCAGGGTTTTATAATTTTATCCCTTGCATTTGGCCAAGTCCACTGTATTTTAATTCCTTTACCACTTTGTTTTTTATTTTATTGTATATGTTGTTATTGTTTGCACTTTATTTGATGTTATTACTTGCTTGTTTGTATTTTACTTTGCCTTATTGTAATTCTTGGGCTTATTGTAATTCTTGGGGCTTAGCCACCCCGAGTCCCCTTGGAGAGATGGTGGCTGGGTATAAATAAAGATTATTATTATTATTATTATTATTATTATTATTATTATTATTATTATTATTTTACTGACACAAAAACACAGTATGTGACAACAAATGAGATCCATATGCTGGATTTCATATCACAAAATCACGTCGAACACTTCCCAAGCGTCTAGGACTGTGTGATGTATTTTCGAATGATGCGCGCAGATCCAAGTAAGGTGGCCTTTTGCAGTTGACTGGTCGTGAGTTTGTCAATGCTTCTTGTTTCCAAGTGCTGGCTGAGATCTTTTGGCACAGCACCCAGTGTGCCGATGACCACTGGGATCACCTGTACTAGTTCATGCCAGAGCCTTTGCAATTTGATTTTGAGGTCCTGATAATGGCTGAGTTTTTCCTGTTGTTTTTCCTCAATGTGACTGTCACCCAGTAAGGCTTGATCCCAGAGCCAAGTTTTTATCTTTCTTCTGAAGGCTAGGAGGGAGGGGGCTGATCTAATGTCACTGGGGAGGGAGTTCCATAGCTGAGGGGCCACCACTGAGAAGGCCCTGTCTTTTCCACAAGTTGCGCCTGCAAAGGAGGTGGGACCGAGAGCAGGGCCTCCCTGGATGATCTTAGAGGGAGATACATTCGGACAGGTAAGCTGGACCAAAACCGTTTAGGGCTTTATAGGCTAAAGCCAGTACTCTGAATTGTGCTTATAGTAACAGACTGGCAGCCAGTGGAGCTGATGGAACAGGGAGGTTGTATGCTCCCTGTATACTGCTCCGGTGAGCAATCTGGCTGCTGCCCGTTGGTCCATTTGGAGCTTCTGAACAGTCTTCAAAGGCAACCCTATGTAGATCAGAAAAGTTAATTGCCCAAAGGTGGGAGGAGGATATGTGGGAAAGGTGCCAGGGTCTTTTGAGGTGATTTATGATGTTATAGCCTAGACTCTATATACATGGGCAGATTTGTTAGGTGCTTGTATTCCGAACAATACAGATGCATGGTAACCTTAGCCATTGTGTGTCTTGGCGTATTCTTTCCAGTTAATACTAAACCCTAGCAGCACAGTTGGAGCAAAGAACCTCTCACAATTTGTTCAGAATATCAGCACCTCTCTCTAGCTACTGCCTAAACCAAAATGGAGGGAGAAGAGAGAGGGGACAACACTGCCGAGAACCAACTCGTGGACATTTCAGGGAAAGAAGCAAGCTTCGGAGGAGAAGAGATGGCAGGGTCTCACACTCCACTGGATGCAGCAATCTCCCCAACAATGACCAGCTGCTGGCGGATCACACCGACTCAACTGGAAGACTTTCACAGAGCCAAGCCAGCAACCGGCTGGGAGTATGGCCCTCCCCACTTGATAGGCAGTTAAGAAGTGCAGAATTTGATGCAAGAATTGGTGCAACTGAAGGAACCGCCCTCCTCCCACCTTGGGGAAATTGACTTTTATGGCTGGTTCATATGTCCTTTCAGCATCCTGTCCTCCTTTTGGCCAAAGGCCATATGCTCTATGTCAGGGCGTAGTTGGATGGCATGAGTGAGAGATCATGACAGTGAGGGACGAGGAAGGAATGGCCCGAAGGAGGAGATAATGCAAAAAGAGAGAAAGAGAGAGAGAGAGAGAGGTTTTTAAAGGATAGAACAAGTGAGGAAATTGCACTTATAACACAGGAACAACAATCATGTTACATAGCATTATAATTATAAAATGGGACATTTTTTGGACAAATCTCAGAGCTGGAAATGGAGAAAGCTGGTGGGCGACGAGGAAGGAATGGCCCAAAGAAGGAGATAATGAAAAAAGAAAGAGATAGAGACACATTTTTTATGATAGAACAAGTGAGGAAATGACATGTATAACCCAGGAATAACAATCATGATACATAGTGTAATGATTCAAATGTCCTCTCTTTCGGTCCTCTCTCACGCTGGAGGAGCTAGCAACTTTCAAAGAGAACACTGCTATAGGAATCTCTAGGTCTTCCAGTGTAATTTCCATGATTCAGCAGATGCCAAAATAACGAGAGTTGTTCTCTAGAGTTGAAAAAGAGCCAACTCTTTATGCCCCTTGATCCAGCTGTTACACTCTAGCTTTGAGAACACCTTTTCACCCAGCACCACACCAGAGTCCAGTGGTTTCTAACTACAGCAGTTTATTTACAAAAGCATGTACAGAAAGGAAAAAAGGGCATTTCCCCAAAAGAGGTATAAATGGTGCTATAAATAGCAATAGTTCATATATATCAATGGTTCCCAACCCTTTTTTGACCAGGGACCACTTGACCAAGGACCACTCTCTAACATTAGTACCAAAAGGGTTAAGAATCAGTTTTTGGTCAACATTAGATTTGGTTTGATTATTTGGGGTGCTGATTCAGAAAACTGCATTGGAGAGACCACATCAGCTCTAATTTCTGTTACAGAACATATGCCATCCAGTAGTCTCCACCTGCTTGCCCACAGAAAATCATATCGAATAATCTAGAGCTGATGTGATCTATCCAATGCGATTTTCTGAATCAGCACCCCAAATAATCCCAGGAACAGGCCTAAAAACGAAAACACCAATTTTTTTTTGTTAAGCTGTGTTATTATCCGTGGATTTTGTTAATGCTAATTTTTAACAAAAAAAAAGAAGAGTAGGGGACTGGTGTTGAAAAAAATACAAAAAGCAGAGTGCAAGACCCAAGAAACTGTCCCTAACAGCTTTCTCTTGCCTCCTTGCCACAGGCACATGGCCACAAGGAAGGAGGCGTGCTCTGTGGGACATAGTAACTGTGAGACATAAATCCATAAGCATGAAAACAGGAACTTTTCCAAGGCTAAAACTCTTACAGGAACATAGGAAAACACGGGAGACTTGAATAATGAGCTTGAGAGCTGAAACAAGAACTTGAACCTATGGCAACTTTGCTCTGGAAACACGGAGTAAATATCACTTAATTTAATCTCAGGCTCAATCAAGAAGACATGAGATAATGCCTTTGACACACGGGACTCACTGAGTCTTGGTGAATGCCTACTCGAGTATAAGCCGACCTGAATATAAGCCAAGGCACCTAATTTTACCACAAAAACTGGGAAAATGTAGGAACCCAGGGTGGGAAATTCAGCAGCCACTGGTAAATTTCAAAAATAGGAGGAATTGTGGAATATAGGAAGGAGGAGAAGAGGAAGAAAAAGGAAGAGGGAGGAACAATAGGAGAAGGAGGAAAAGATGGAAGAAAAAGGAGGAGGAAAGGAAGAAAAAGAAGCCGGAGGAGTCCTCGTGGATAACAAGTTAAACATGAGCCAATAATGTCATGCAACAGCTTTAAAAGCCAATGGGATTTTGTCCTGCATGAATAGGAGTCTAGTGCCTACATCAGTGGTTCTCAACCTTTTAAATTCCACAACCCCTTCACACAGTTCCTAATGTTGTGCCGACCCTCAACAATAAATTATTTTCATTCCTACTTCATATCTGTAATTTTGCTACTGTTATGAATTGTAAAGTAAATATCTCGTGTGCAGGATGTATTTTCATTCACTGGACCAAATTTGGCACAAATACCTGATATGCCCAAATTTGAATACTGGTGGGGTTGGAGGGGGGTTGATTTTGTCATTTGGGAGTTGTAGTTGGTGGGATTTATAATTCACCAACAACCAGAGAGCATTCTGAACTCCACCAACAATGGAATTGAACCAAATGTGGCACACAGAACTCCCATGACAAACAGAAAATACTGGAAGGGTTTGGTGGCCATTGACCTTGAGGTTTAGAGTTGTAGTTCACCTACCAGGCTGAGAAATGCTGGCCTAGATGCAGGGAAGTTATGCTACCTGTCTGTTCTGCCTTAGTCAGACCACACCTGGAATCACACTGTGTCCAATTCTGGGCACTGCAATTGAAGGGAGATGTTGACTCTAAGCTGGAATGTGTCTCGAGGGGGCGACTACAATGATCAAGGATCAGGAGAACAAGCCCTATGAAGAGCGGCTTAAAGAGCTAGACATGTTGAGGGCCATATATAAATATATGAGGGGAAGTCATAGGGAGCAGGTTGTTTTCTGCTGCCCTGGAGACACGGAACAATGGCTTCAAACTACAGGAAAGGAGATTCCATCTGAACATTAGGAAGAACTTCCTGTGAGAGCAGTTCAGTAGTGGAATTCTCTGCCCTGGAGTGTGTGGATGCTCCTTCTTTGGAGGCTTTTAAGCAAAGGTTGGATGTCCATCTGTCGGGGGCGTTTTGAATACTAGTGTCCTGCTTCTTGGACTGGGTGGCTCACAAGGTCTCTTCCATCTCCATGATTCTCGGAGGAATACAGGAATGTGAAGAAGTAGAGGAAGAAAAGAAGAGGGAGAAAGAATAGGAGAAGGGGAAAAGGGAATAAAAAGGAGGAGATGAAGAAAGAGGAGAAGGAGAGAAAGGAAGAAAAAGAAGAACAAGCTAGAGAAGAATGAGAAGGAGGGTAAAGAAGCAGGAGGAGGAGGAATAGAGGAAGGAGATGAAGCACAAGGAAGAGGAGAATGAGGAGGAAAAAGAAGCAGGAGGAGGAATAGAGGAAGAAGGAACCGGGCCCTGGGCTACCTGAGCCGGGCCCTGGCCGCCTGGGCCTTTACCATCTTCTACCAGTGGGGCCTCCACCATCTGTGCTGACCTTTCTCTGTGTTGATCGATATTGTCATAGACCAATTGTGCTGACCACCGCCGTGTTGACCATCTCCGGAAGACTGAGAGCCTTATTCGCTATTTTACATCAGCCGTCCATAGATTACATCTTGAATCATAATAACTTTACCTAAGTGATATCACTGCCAACCTCATTAATATTGTGTTTACATATTACTAATATAGTACGTTCCTTGTCTACCTCGCTGCTAATTTGGTACTAAGAACGCAATATAGCACTTTAAGGCGCCTGCCTTCTTTGCTGCTATATCGTACTAGCACTTACGCTCCCTTCCCCTATCCCTCCATGCCGCACTTTAGATAGTGTTGCGAGCCAGATTTGGGTATTTCGTCGCACTTTAAGATCCTTGCACTTTATGAATTGCCCTAGTGGCACGCAGCTGTGACGCCTACGGTGTTGCACTTTAAGACTCTTGCACTTTATGAACTATCTAACTGTCGGGGCTGAGACGCTTTATTACCATCAATCTTACTGAAGTGTACTATTATTACCCATGTGGTTCCCCATCCCCATCCCCCTATTTGTATTGTCCTTGATATTAGTGACTAGTGGAAGGGGCAAGGGAGGAAGTGGGCTGGAGTCTGTGGACAACAATGAGGTGGGGAGGGGGGAGAAAGGGGATCAAGGGAGTTGGCAAGGGCCAACAAACCAAACAACTAGCGGAGCAGGAATTAAGACCTTGGTTTTGGACTGCGGCATGGAGGAGGGGAGGTGTTCCACTAGCCGAGGGGCCCCCATAGAGGTCGTGGTGGGGAGGGGGAGATGCGGAAAAAGGAGACCTCAAATTCGGCCTAATTCGGACCGCTTATCTACATTAATAATCCCAAATCGGTCTCCTAAGGTAAATTGGTGTAACCAGGTGAGCGGGCCCTCTGGATTGAAGGTGGTGCTGTTGAACGCCAGATCTGTCAACGGAAAAACGACCTTTATCCAGGATCTAATCCTGGATGAGCGGGCAGATCTGGCGTGCATCACGGAGACCTGGCTGGATGAAGCTGGAGGCGTAAATCTTACCCAGCTTTGTCCTCCAGGCTTCTCCGTACAGCACCAACCGAGATCCGGAGGACGGGGAGGCGGGGTCGCAGTGGTCTATAGAGATTCCATCCATCTGACCAGGAGTCCCATCCCGCAGACCACAAATTTTGAATGCGTCCACCTGAGGGTGGGTGACCGGGAAAGAATAGGGATTCTGTTAGTGTACCGTCCACCTCGCTGCACTACAGTCTCCCTACCTGAGCTAGCGGGGGTAGTCTCGAGCCTGGCGTTGGAGTCTCAACGGCTTCTCGTGCTGGGAGACTTCAATATCCATGCCGAGGCGACCCTCACAGGAGCGGCTCAGGACTTCATGTCTGCCATGGCAACCATGGGGCTGTCCCAACAAATATCTGGCCCCACCCATGTGCTGGACACACATTGGACTTGGTTTTCTGCCAGGGATGGGAGCAGGGTGGCGGTGTGGAGGAGTTGTCCATCTCTCCGTTGCCATGGACTGACCACTTCCTGATCAGATTTAGGCTCACTGCGCCCCCTAACCTCTGCAAAGGTGGAGGACCCATTAAGATGGTCCGCCCCAGGAGGCTTATGGATCCAAATGGATTCCTGACGGCTCTTGGGGATTTTCCCGCCACCTCGGTAGGTGACCATGTCGAGGCCTTGGTCGCTCTCTGGAATGGGGAGATGACCAGGGCAATTGACATGATCGCTCCGGAACGTCCCCTCTCAAGTAGCCGAGCTAAACCAGCTCCTTGGTTCACCGAGGAGTTGGCAGCGTTGAAGCGAAAGAAGAGGGAACTAGAGAGCGTGTGGCGTTCGGATCCGAGCGAGCCAAATCGAACACGGTTTGTGTCCTTTTTAAGGGCATATGCCGCGGCAATAAAAGCCGCAAAGAAAACTTTCTTTGCGGCCACTATTGCGTCTGCAAGGAACCGTCCGGCGGAGTTGTTTCGGATTGTCAGAGGTCTTTTAACTCCCGCCACCTCAGGCGGGAGCCCTGACAATTCGGTCACGCGCTGCGAAGCATTTGCTCGGTTCTTTGCAGACAAAGTCGCTTTGATCCGTTCTGGGCTGGACACCATGTTAAATGCAGTCTCTGAGGATGTGACACAAGCACCTGCTTGTCCTATTTTGATGGATTCTTTTCAGTTTGTGAAGCCCGAGGATGTGGACAAGATACTTGGAGGAATGAGGCCCACCACGTCCATCCTAGACCCCTGCCCATCCTGGCTTCTGAAGGAGGCCAGAGGGGGATTGGCTGAGTGGGTAACGGTGGTGGTTAATGCCTCCCTTCGGGAAGGCAAGATTCCAGCGAGCTTAAAACAAGCTATTATAAAACCGCTGTTGAAGAAACCATCATTGGACCCCACTAAATTTGACAACTTTCGGCCTGTTTCCAATCTCCCCTTTTTGGGCAAAGTCATGGAAAGCGTGGTGGCCTCACAACTCCAGGTATTCTTGAGAGACACGGATTATCTGGATTCGGCACAGTCTGGTTTCAGACCGGGACATGGAACTGAGAAGGTCTTGGTCGCCTTAGTGGATGATCTGCGCCGGGAGCTAGACAGGGGGAGTGTGTCCCTGTTGGTGCTCCTGGACCTCTCAGCGGCCTTCGATACCGTCGACCACGGTATCCTTCTGGGGCGCCTTGCGGGAATGGGCCTTGGGGGCACTGCTCTGCAGTGGCTCCAGTCATTCTTGGAGGGTCGCACCCAGAAGGTGTTATTGGGGGACTCCTGTTCAACACCACAGCCTTTGACCTGTGGGGTTCCACAGGGCTCTATACTGTCCCCCATGCTGTTTAACATCTACATGAAGCCGCTGGGTGAGATCATCCGGAGTTTCGGGGTGCGGTGTCATCTGTACACAGATGATGTCCAACTCTGTCACTCCTTTCCACCTGCTACTAAGGAGGCTGTCGAGGTCCTGAACCGGTGCTTGGCCGCTGTGACGGTCTGGATGAGGGCGAACAAACTGAAATTAAATCCAGACAAGACAGAGGTACTCCTGGTCAGTCGCAAGGCCGAACAGGGTATAGGGTTACAGCCTGTGCTGGACGGGGTCGCACTCCCCTTGAAGGCGCGTTCGCAGTTTGGGTGTGATCTTGGATTCATCGTTGAGCCTGGATCCCCAGGTTTCAGCGGTGACCAGGGGAGCATTTGCACAGCTCAGGCTCGTGCGCCAGCTGCGCCCGTACCTTGGGAAGTCTGACTTGGCCACGGTGGTACACGCTCTGGTTACATCCCGCCTTGACTACTGCAACGCTCTCTACGTGGGGCTGCCCTTGAAGACGGCCCGGAAGCTTCAGCTAGTCCAGCGCGCGGCAGCCATGTTACTAACAGGAGCGGGACGCAGGGAGCACACAACGCCCTTGTTGTTCCAGCTCCACTGGCTGCCGATCTGCTACCGGGCCCAATTTAAGGTGCTGGTGTTGGCCTACAAAGCCCTAAACGGTTCCGGCCCAAAATACCTTTCGGACCGCATCTCGGCCTATGAGCCCACGAGGGCCTTGAGATCGTCTGGGGAGGCCCTTCTCTCGATCCCACCTGCCTCACAGGCACGTCTGGCGGGGACGAGAGAGAGGGCCTTCTCGGTGGTGGCCCCCCGGCTGTGGAACACCCTCCCTGTAGACATCAGACAGGCGCCCTCCCTTATGTCATTCCGTAAGAGCCTAAAGACATGGTTATTCGAGAAGGCATTTAACTAAGTGCTATAATAACTGACAATGACGACTGGAACGGAATATGGATTACGAGATTGGTTATGATTCTACGATGAGACGGAGCGGATTATTTTAGTGTAATTATATTGTTAGTGTATTATTGATAGTTAGGATGATATTTCGTTGTGTTAGTGCTTTATTGTAAATTTGTCTTTTATATGTTGTACACCACCGTGAGTCGCCCTAGGGCTGAGAACGGCGGTCAACAAATGCAGTAAATAAATAAATAAATAAATAAATAATAAGGAGAGGAAGAACAAGGAAGAGGAGAATGAGAAGGAAGGAAAAGGAAGCAGGAGGAGGGATAGAGGAAGGAGAAGAGGAAGAACAAGGAAGAGGAGAATGAGAAAAAAGAAGCAGGAGGAGGAGGAATAGAAGAAGGAAGTGAAGGAAAAGAAGAAAAAAGAGGAGTAGAGGGGAAGAAGGAGGAAAAGGCAGCCCTGTGTGTGGCTCTGGGTCGGAAGCGGAGAGGCATCCATCCCTTCGAGGCATGGCTTGGGGGAGGGCTGAGGCAGTGACCCCACAGAAGCAGGGGCCCTAAGCAGGCTCTGAAGTCACAAAGGAATGCATGGGCAGGACAGGAGAGTGGATTCAAAGGCCTCAACTTTTCCTTTTCCTTTCCTTATAAAATCAGGACAGTAAATTAAGAGCAAAACTCAAAAAGCAGGGGATTTCCAGCCAATAATATATCAGGGCCAGTTAACACCTTCCAGCAAAGGATTCCCCCAAGCAGCAACCAGTCAGTGATTCCAGCCATGAAAGCCTTTGACAACAAAAAGCGGAGAGCTTACCTGCTGGCTTCGCTGGCAAGATGGAGGTCCCGATCAGGCAGGGAATCTTCCCAGTCTAAGATGGTGTCTATCAGCTTCCCTCTTTGGAAAAAGACAACAATGATGTCAAAGTAAGCTAACACACAGGGTGAACGGTAAGGGAAACACACACATTATCTTTTCTTGAGAAGTAAGGAAGCCAGTCATTGTGAGATGGCTGTTTTGGGGCTGGATTCTGTCTCTGAGAGGCCGGAGTACAAACCCCTGCTCTGCTCTGGGATCTATGGAGAAGATCCTGAGCACGTTACCGTCTCTCAAAGAAGGCCATGGAAAGACGGCCTACACTGATTCATTGGTCCCAACCTTGATTCTGAGATCAGGCAGGATCTGGTGCCTTGAAGGCATTTCTCCTTTGGGCCACCGTAAGTCGCAAATGGTAAGGAGGAAAAGCCTCACTCCTGAATGCTCAGAGGCCCTTCTGACCCAGGATTCCCAGGATGCAAGCGTTAAAGCATCCGCCAAAGGATAAGTCCTAGGGCAGGGATGAGCAGAGACTTTGGACTTCAGAGGGGAAGAAAGGGAAGATCAAGCTGCAGAAAACCTTGCCCCAACCCACTATGAATAGCACAGAATAACTTTATTGTTGTCATACATTGTACAACGAAATTCAATGCTTTCCCCAGCACACGTCACAAAACAACACCCTCCTCCCTCCACACTCCAACCACCACCTCACAGCCCCTAACGACACATCAATGCGAAGCCATGGAGTTCAACATAGCTACAGCTCTAGGATGAAAGCTATCCTACAGTCCTTGTCTTTGTCACCCTGTACCGTCTACCAAAAACAAAAATATTCTGGGTGAGATGGATCCCCAAGAATGCTCTAATCTTTCTTAAGGCAGCAGGAATTATAAAGTTCTTTATTATAAATTATAAAGAAAGAGGGCAACCAACGCTTCTCTGTGCAGAAGTGGTGACCTTTTGGAGCACCTTCCTCTCTGCAATTATGTGCAATTAGTAAACCATGCGCAGATGCAGGAGGTTAGGACACTCTGTATAGCAGTGGTGGAAAGTCACCAGCAGTTTTCCACTCAGTTGGTGGTTCCTTAGAAGTCTATCACTCTATCTCTTATGGGTTGGACTGGATGGCCTTTGGGGATTCCTTAGGAGTCTCAGACAGTCCAGTCTCTGCTGGGCCCTCTTCACCAACGCTGCTCCAGGTCAGCTCCTCCTTAACAGTTGCACCCAGGGACTTACAACTGGCCACCCACTCCACTTCAGTCTCCATTTATGATGAAGGGCTGGATTTCTGGTTGGTTCTCTGTGTAGTCCACTATAAGCTCCTTGGTCTTACTGATGTTAACAAACAGATTTTTGTCCTTGCACCATGGCTATCCTTTTTGCCCGAAGAAGAGAGAGGCACCTGCAGGAGCGGAGCCCTTGGCGCTTGGAGACGTCGCACAGTCTCCCCGTCGGCTTCAGGCCCATCGTCCCCACCACTGTGTCCCTCACATACTGCCTGCAGGATGGAAAAGGGGGAAGGACAACATTGCAGCTAGAGCTCAAAACATATTATATTTATTTATACCCTGCTTCGGGCCCATGGTCCCCACCACCATGTTCATTATGTACTGCCTGCAGGATGGAAAAGGGGGAAGGACAACATTGCAGCTAGAGCTCAAAACATATTATTATTATATTTATTTATACCATGCTTCAGGCCCATCGTCCCCACCTCGTCCCTTACATACTGCCTGAGGGACACAAAAGGGGGAAGGACAACATTGCAGCTAGAGCTCAAAAATATTATTTTATTTATTTATACCCCGCTTCAGGCCCACTGACCCCACCACTGTGTTCTTCTGCAGGAAGGACAACATTGCAGCTAGAGCTCGAAAAATAAAGAAGGAAAGTGATAACTTGAGTTGGATTTTGTGAGCATGTGCCGATGATAGAAGCGCGTTCTCCCCAGCCTCTCCTCCAAAAAGAAGATAATAATGAAGAAAGATTGTTATAATTAGCAACTAACAGCACAGAAAAGAAAACAACTGGTGTGTGATAGAGGGAGGCACAGGAGAGAGCTTCTAAGGCCTGGTAAGGAGACTTTTAATTATATAAATAAGGACCAGACAAAAGGCTGCAGCAAGCACTCAAGATGGGCCCCAAACGTGATCCTATCGTAGAGGCTTTAAACAGAATTGAGCAGAAAATGGATATTCGATTTGATATTTTGGAAGAAAGACTGGAAACATACCAAAAAAAAAAAGCTTTCTCAAACAAATAAGATAGCTAATACAGCTTGGCAACGTTCCAAGACTAATGAGGAAGAAATTAACCATTTAAAGGACCAGCTATCTTCATTGAAAGATAAGCTTTGCAGAAACAATCTTAAGGTCATTTGGTGTACCATCAACACTTACCGACGAGCAATTAGAAGGAGCCTTGATGGATTGGATTACTGCCCAGGGAGTGGAACTGGACAGAAATGAGATTGAAAGGGCACATAGAGTGTTCAGAGGGCGTCAGCAGTCCACTACACCTGGCAGAGATGTGCTAATTAAGTTTGCAAGGCAAAAGGTAAAGGAAATTGTTTATAAGGTCCTGAAAAGTAAACAAAATTTGGAATGGGATGGAAATACAATCATTATTTGTCTGGACCTATCACAAGAATCTTTGAAAAAGAAGAAAATCCTGCAAACATTTGCTCAGAGACTCTACCAGAATAACCAGAAATTCTCATGGATATATAACCCTGTAGCCTTGCTGGTTTTTAAAGATCAAAGAAAAATAATTGCATGAAACCCAGCTGATGCTTTGAAATTGTTGATTAAGTGTGGAATTGATTGTTCGAACTTGGATACACGTGACACACGAGAAGAAGCAGATTCAGAGGAAGATGGAGAAGAAATGGTTAACCAACCCTCTGTTAGTTCTAAGCATGTTGCAAAGACGAAATGCCTGCACATGTAATCATGAGTAGATTATTATTGTGAGAGAAATGACTGTTGCTAATTTGGAGTGATTGGTTCTTATCTATATAAATAAAAATGTAATGTTCATTTGTGGGATTAAAAGAACTCAAAAACCATTGGATGAATTGCCGCCAAATTTGGACACAAGACATCTACTACCCCAAGGAGTGACCATCACTCAAAAAAAGAAAACAAAACAAAACTGATTTTGTCATTTGGGATTTGTAGCTGCTGGGATTTACAGTTCACCTACAATCAAAGAGCATTCTGAACTCCACCCATGATGGAATTGAACCAATCTTGGCACATAGGACTCCCATGACCAATAGAAAATTCTGGAAGGGTTTGGGAGTTGTAGTTCGCCTACATCTAGAGAGCACTGTGGACTCAAACAAGGATGGATCTGGACCAAACTTGGCACGAATACTCCATATGCCCAAATGTGAACTCAGATGGAGTTTGGGGGAAATAGACCCTGACATTTGTGAGTTGTAGTTACTGGGATTTATAGTTCTCCTACAATCAAGGAGTATTCTGAACCCCATCAATGACAAAATTGGGGTAAACTTCCCACACAGAACCCCCATGACCAACAGAAAATACTTAAGGCCATCCAGTCCAACTCCCTTCACCAGGACAAGAAAACGTGATCACAGCCCTCCTGACAGAGAGCCATCCAGCCATAGATATAGATAGATTGATATGATTCACACACACGGAGATATAGTATCATAGATTTGAAAGGGCCCCCTAAAGAAGGACAATTATATGTTGGATTTTCCAGAATAGGCAAACCAGACAATCTCTACATCAACACTGACAAAGAAACAGCAAGAAGTGCTGTTTACCCACAAGCATAAAGAAATATCATAAAGAAATTGCATACCAACACTTTCTCATTACTTTATTCTCCAGATCACCAGACTGGGCCACAGCAACGCATGGCAGGGGCGGCTAGTAAGTATATAAAGGGAAAAGAAAGTCTAAAAAGAAAGGGCGGAGGAAAGAGGATGGGGGGAAAACGCAATAGCCTGAGAGATACTTCAGATGGAGAGGATGAAGATCCAAAGTACTCAGCATCTGGAGTGTGGGGAAAAGGGGGGATGAAGATAATAACATACTTTGCAGCCATGGGGAAGTAGGGTATAGGTGGATGGTTAAATGATTCAAGTATGATTGGCTTCGTTGACTATACATTCATTAGCTTTGGATGTTAAAAGGTGGAAACTATACAAAACCATGGAAAAGTATAAGATAACGATAATGTCGATACAAGAGATACACAAAGAGATATTTGATACGACACCATTGTTTAACTATAGGGGGTGGAGTACAGTGGTGGAGGCCAGATTTAAAAAGTACAGAGGAGTTGGGATAATGTTTCATGATAGCCTTAATGTGGAAATAATCCATCAAATAGCGGATGTACAAGGAAGATTGTTATTTGTAAAAATAAAACTAGATGGTAAAATAATGGCATTGGTTAATATATATGCTCCTAATACAGGTCAAGAAAAATTTATACAAAAACTTTTAAAGAAAATTGATAATTATTATGAGGGGGATCTCATGATTATGGGAGACTTTAATTTTGTTTTCAGAAAGAAAAGTAATGTGAATTTGAAAAGGTGGAACTTAAAAAATGTTTATGATATGACACAAGATCAACAGCAACCAACCTTCTACTCAAAGAGGCATAAGAAATATACCACAATCGATCACATATTGTTAAAAGAGAACTTGAGTATGGAAATAAGATCTTGTTTTACAGATATGATCTGGCTCTCTGATCACGCCATGGTGATGATCAATTTTGAGATAAGTGGGGATGGCGTGGATAAGACTTGGAAGTATAAGGATATGGTTTGGAAGAATTTGAAAAGTAGAGAATATATGAAAGATCAGATTAAAAATTTCTTCTAAGATAATAATGGTTCAACCAGCATACAAACTGTTTGGGACACTTCAAAAGCAGAAATAGGTTATGAGAGAAATAGGAAGATGGTTAGGGAGCAGAAATTGAAGGAAATTACTCTATGTCCAGCAGAAGAAAGATAAGGAGAAGGGAGCTAGATTAGCCCAACTGAAAAGGGAATTGGCAGAGATTGATGTTTTGGAGTAGTGGAAAGTTGCTGTAATTGTTAAAAATGATTACCAGCTAAATAATATCCAATCTATGAAGAGGAAAGAGAGGAGAAGAGAGGAGTGGGACAGATAAGAAATAAGCAAAAAGAAAAAGTAATGGCGACAGGAAAAATACTACAGGTTTTTGCAAGTAATTATAAAGAATTATATGGAAAAGAAACACTGAAAAGATGGGAAGAAGAGGTTAACACAAAGTTGGACCCCAGGGAGGCGGATTCAATGACAGAAGAAATAACTCAGGAGGAAATTTTAAAAGTGATAGAGGAGCTGAAAGGTAATAAGGCCCCAGGTGTTGATGGATTTACAGGTCAATTCTATAAGGAAATGGGGGAAGTGTTGATACCACAATTACAAAAATTGTTAAACCACATAATGAGAGGGGACCTACCACCTGTTTCTTGGAAACAGGCAGAAATACTGACAATTTTAAAAGAGGGGAAGGACCCGATAGAGGTAACGTCCTATAGACCAATAAGTCTGATGAACCAAGATTATAAAATTTTCACAAAAACCTTGGCAAGGAGGTGGGAGAAGCTCCTTCCAAAATTAGTTGAGGAGGACCAATATGGTTTTGTTAAAGGAAGGAGTATTAGCCACCCATTAAGAAACATAGTGAATATAATAGGAATTAAGGAAAAGAAGGAATGGGCTATGATAAAACTTGATGTCTATAAAGCCTTTGACTCGTAAATCATGATTATTTGTATAGAGTTCTAGATAAATATGGGTTCAAAAGAGAGTTTATTAGGATGTTAGAGGAGCTGTATGGAGAGGCTGATGGGAGGATTAAGATAAATAAAACACTGTCAGAAAGAATACCAATACAAAGAGTAGTTTGGCAAGGATGGCCTCTATCACCTTTAATATTTACTTTAGCAGATAGCATAAGGAATAATGAAAGGATTAAAGTATATAGAATAGGGAAGGGGGAAACCAGAATTAATTTATTTGCAGACAACATATTAATTATAATGGAAAACCCAAGAGAAACCCTGGAGAAATTAAAGTAATTTTGGAAGATTTTGAAAAAGTATCTGGCCTAAAAATAAATTTAGCAAAATCAAAAATTCTAACAATGAATATGAATAAGAGAAAAATTAAGGAAATTCAGGAAGAGGGGATAATTAAGATAGCTAAGAGAAAGATTGTTATTTGGGAATTCAGATAGCTAGGAGTGAGGACAAATTACGAGATAATAATTATAATGTGATCTGGAGAATTAGAAGACAACTAAGAGGCTGGAAAGGGAAAAACCTATCAATCTCGAGGAGAATCAGAGCGCTAAAAATGTGTGTGATACCGAAAATGTTGTATTTCTTTCAGACTCTGCGGTGACCCTAAGGCCGGGGCAAATAGCTCAGTGGGATAAGGAGTTACGAGAATGGGTATTTGGAGGAAAGAAAGCAAGAGTGGCTCAGAAAATAGTCTATGCAAGAAGTGATCAACTGGGCTGGGGAGTCCCAAACTTACAAGCATATTATGAAGCTTTTCAGTTGAAGTATTTAATAGAAATGGATAAGGGAAATCAGAAATGGATTAGAATAGAAAATGAAAGAAATGGGTGTAAAGGAAAAGCTGGTATTTTTACTAAGAATATAAAAGGGAATATAAAAGGAACAGAGGGTCCTAGAAGATTAGCTTTTATAATATGGGGAAAATGACAAAAGCAATGGATCCCCACATTATCTAAATGGTCACCATTATATAGCTTGTTTGAGGATGAAGAGTCCTGGCTGTAGAAGTTGAATAGAGCAGGATTTGTAAAAGTGAAGGATTTATATAATAATGGAGGAGAATTGATGGATTCTATGGAGTTGGTGGGAAAAGGTGGAAGAGAAAATTGGTTGAAATTGAGAGGACTATGGGAGATGGTTAACAATGGAGTAAAAAGAGAGGAAAATAAGTTGGATTCCCTGATCAGACAAAGGGAAGAAGGTAAAATGGGGGGAGCAGGAGTAATATACAAAATGATAGTGGAAGCAAAAGAAACAATGCTTAGAACGATAATACAAAAATGGAGTAAGGAAAGCAGACTTTCAGAGGAAAGGGTGGAAAAGATAATAAAGGGGGAAAGTACCATTAAAATGGAAAAGTTTCAAGAATTAGTAAAAAAGATTTATTTAAAGTGGTATAGAACCCCAGTTCAGCTAGCATATATGATAAAAAGGGTCCAGCTCAAACTGTTGGCATTCTAAAAAGGGGAAGGGATGGCTTACACATTTGTGGTGGGAATGTGAGGAAGTGCAGAGATTCTGGAAGAGGGTATAATGTAAATTTGTATATTGGGCCGGGACTGTTGGAAATTGGAACAGTGGACCTACAAATGCTGAAGAAAGAAGACCAACAAACTTTGATGCCGATGGTTAAAGCTGCCCATGCTGTAATAGCATTGGGATGGAAGGATACGAAAAATGGACAATGGACAGATGGAACTAATACACTTATGAACAAGTACAATTTGATATTATGGGAATAATACAACAAGATATATCATGGTCTATAAAAATACAAAAAATTAAAGAGAACTGGTTAAGATATGTGAAATGGGTTGAAGAAGGGAAAGTTAATGATCAGATAAAGGAAAAAATGGACAGAATCCTGGACTGGCTGCACTTAAAAATGCTTTGTTGTAAAGTTGGAGGGAAAAAAAGGGGGCAAAAATGTAATGGTTTATGGATGTATAAAAGTAAGTTTATTTTGATGGATTCGATGGATACCATTACAATAAAAAACATTTTTAAAAAAGTGATAACTTGAGTTAAGAGTTTCATTTGTTCAAGCTGTGATCAAGCTGTTAATTCAAAGGGAATTTTCCCATTGAAATGCTATTAATCCGTTCCGGCCCCCCAAAAGTCAACCTATTTTTTGTTATATGTTTTTAAATAAGAAAATATCTCCTGTCCAAAAGAGCTTATGGCAACATGTTGCATCTTGCCGTCGCCAAAGCTCTCCTCTGGGCGGGATGAATCAAAATAAGCAAAGGTAAGCTGCCATGACTCCACGCTAGCATGGAATAAATGTCGTGGTAGGGGAACAAGTTCTCTTTGCCGCAAGAGTCAGATTATGAGGAAAGTCAAAAGTCTGCTCTGTTCTTGAGTGCATTTTGGGAGGGAGCCCTTTGCACAAAGCCTGCCGCCATGTAATACGAAGGCAAAGGGAAGGGGGAGTACATACTTGCCACACTTCATGCATTCCTCCACAAACATGTTCCCGTGTAGCTCGGCCAGTTTGTCCCTGAAGGAGGGAAAGGGAGAGGCGTGAAATGGTGCAACCATGAGGAAAGAGTGCTCCCTGCCCACAGAATGGCACCTGAAGGCCTTACCTGGGGAAGCCGGACCGAACATGAAGGCCGTCCACATTCTGGCTGACTAGGAAGTGCAGGAGGCCAGCCTGTTGGAGGCCCAGCAGTGCCATGTGGGTTGGGGAGGGGCATGCCCCCTCAAAGGTGGTGTCGAACTTGGCAGGCAAGCCACGCTCCTCCAGAGTCCAGACCCCATTGGGGCCTCTGCAGTGAAGAAAGGAAGGGAAGGGGAAGATGGAAGAAAAAGAAGGGAAGAAAAGGAAAGGAAGAGGAAGGGAAGGTAGGCAAAAGGAAAGGGAAGAAAGGGGGAAGGGAAAGGAGAAAAAGAAAGTAAGGAAGGAAGGGAGGGAGGGAGGGAGGGAGGGAGGGAGGAAAGGCAATGGTGAATCCAAATTACTAACTATCTTTCTGAATGGCAATCTAGTGCCACAGTTTAAAGGCTAGACTACCACTCTGGGAGAATAGGCTTCCAAAAGATAGATAGATTAATCGCTTCATCAAGTTTGATATTGTCCTTCTTCTATCTTGTTTTATGATGTGGCTCTTTTACATATTGTACGTATTTGTACGAATGTGAATGACGTATGGTCTAGGAAAAGGGCTTCTTACTCTTCTCTCACTCACAACCTGAGAAAATCTGACATGACTCCAGGTATATAGCTCTATAAAACAGGGATACAATGTACCGGAAGTCTGGGATTCCCGAAGAGGTGCTGATGCCGGCTCCAGTGTGAAAGACGACATTGGAAGCCTCCCGGATAAGGTCCGCCAAGCGAGAGATCTTCTCCTCCAGTTCATCTGGAGTGTCAAAGGACTGGACAGTAAATGAGAAGAAAGGGAAAATGCAATTAATGCTATACAAGAGAGCCAAATGTTGTGGTTTGAGGAGTCAAGATAGCCTAAGGAAAGGAGGGAATGCATCCTCCGAAGCAGTGAGTGACCATCTTAAGCTGGAAACAACTTGAAAGCAAATAATAACAAAGTCAGCTCCAAATCTCACTTCCCAGCTTTTTCCCAGAGCCTGATTTTGGATGGAACCCAAGAACAGCATGATGAAGAAGTGTGGTCCAATGACTCCTGTTCATTAGAAGTTGTAGTCCCAAAAAGTAATGCTTGAAATCTATATCTTTACGCAAAGATTATACACACAATAAAAGTGAAAATATGTATGTGTGTATGTGGCTGGGGTGTCCACTTTCACAGACAGGCTCCTACTTCCACAAACAGCTATAGCTCCCACTACTCAGGAGACACCAATGGCCCTCCCTCCAATGACACTGCAGGTTAGTGAGCACCATGAACATGTTCAAGAGCCCTGCCACCAACACCGTACTGCCCTCCACCCAAGTGAAGGCTTTCATTCAGGGACAATTCCATCCTACATTGTATGTGTTTCCTCCACCACAGATATCCCAGTGTTTCTGACTCTCTCCACTGGTGTAGAATTTGCATGACCCCCCCCCCCCCATGCCTCTCCCTTACCCTTTTCCTATACCTTTCTATGGCACACAGCAAACAGAGGAACTGATTGGCAACTGTACATACTATTGAGGTTTGGGGAGAAGTCAGTGTTTGTATGTGGTGGTGTAGCCCCACAAATGACGGATCTGGACCAAATTTGGCATACAGACACCCCACCCCCCCCACCCACCCCCCCACCCCGGTCCTGGTGCAGTTTGAGGGAGGATGGACCACAGATGATGAGATTTGGAGTACCTTCATCAAATTCAGCTTCAACTTCAACAGACCACTGTGACCCCCAAGAATGACAGACCTGGCCAAACTAGGCACACAGACTCCCCATGACCAACAGAACATACTGGAGAAGTTCAGGGACCTTGATTTTGGGAATTGTAGTTTATCTGCATCCAGAGGAACAGTGACCCCTGCCGACAATGGACAGAGACCCAACTTGGCACAGTGAAGGCCCATGACCAACTGAACATACTGCATGGGTTTGTGGATTTGACTTGGAAATCTGGGAGTTGTACTTCACCTGCATTCAGGTAACTGTGTTAGGAGATTATTGCCCTGGGAATCTGGGAGTTGTAGTTCTCCCTTATCCAGAGAGCACCAAACCCAGTCAATGATGGATCTGGACCAAACTTAAGTGATATTACCCAAAACAAGCAATGCCTTCTTTTAATAACTCCGGCATCACCAGGTCCCCAGGCTAGCATGTAATAAAAGTGAATAATTTATATTTTACATTGTATACATATAATAATCAAATAAAATTATATATTATAAATATAACCAAAGTGTATATTATATATCATATATAATATAAAAGTGCAAATAATTATATAATATATTACATAGATATGTGTATATTCTATTATATACTATTATGTTATATTATATATAAACTAAAACTGAATATATTACATATTATATTACCATATTATATATTTATGTTATGAATGCATATTCTTATAGTTACATAGTAACATAAAATATATTATTTATACAACATATGTATATAATATATATGTACACTGTTTCATATAATATTTATATACTATAATATTGTTATATGCTAAATATAGAACCTATATTATAAATTTAATATATTATATAGAAACTGTACTTATATATGTATATACTATAATACTGTTTATATTACATATAGTATTAATAATATATATTATGAATTTAATATTATAATATATATTCTGAACATACAGTCCGTATTTATATTATATATATTATAAATTTAATATTATTATATTCTAAACATACATACTGTATTTACAATATATATAATAAATTTAATATTATATATTTTAAATACTCTGTACTATCCTAGCCGTCCCCTGCAACGAGTTGCTATGGCCCACTCTGGTGGTCATGGGGGTTCTGTGTGGGAGATTTGGCCCAATTCTATCGTTGGTGGGGTTCAGAATGCTCTGTGATTGTAGGTGAACTATAAATCCCAGCAACTACAACTCACAAATGTCATGATTCTATTTTCCCCAAACTCCACCAGTGTTCACATTTGGTCATATTGAGTATTCGTATAGAGTTTGGTCCAGATCCATCATTGTTTGAGTCCACAGTGATCTCTGGATGTAGGTGAACTACAACTCCAAAACCAAAGGACACTGCCCACCAAAACCCTTCCAGTATTTTCTGTTGGTCATGGGAGAACTGTGTGCCAAGTTTGGTTCAATTCCATCATTGGTGGGGTTCAGAATGCTCTTTGATTGTAGGTGAACTATAAATCCCAGCAACTACAACTCCCAAATGACAAAAGCAATTTTTTTGAGTGAAGGACATACATTGGGTTGTTAGGTGTCTTGTGTCCAAATTTGGTGTCAATTCGTCCAGTGGTTTTTGAGTTCTGTTAATCCCGCAAACGAACATTCCATTTTTATTTATATAGATTATTGTTTAAGCTATATATGCACATTTATAATATTTACAATATATGTATATAATAAGTTGAATATTCCAATATGGACTACTAGACCTCCCAGGCAGCGAGCCAGATGTCTTTCCAATGGAGTGTTTCCATGGCAACCCCACGGGGGGGCTATTTTGACTCACCTCCGGTAGGCCGCACAGGCCTTTGTCCGCGTACGGCGACAGGCCCGCCGCGTAATCCACCGACATCTTTCCCTCCTCTCCCCACTCTTTCTCTTTTTTCTTCTCAATCAAGCTTTCCCAAGCCTTTCCTGTTCATTTCCGGTCGGAGAAGCCGGAAATATTCCCTTCGAACAGCCGCAACCTCTTCACAGAAAGAAATCCCCCGCCATCTTGGATTTGGTCAAGGAAAGCGACGACTAGAGGAAGAGGAAAAAACTCGAAGCTACAGGAGTAACCTGAACTAAAGACAACTTCCCCTGCCATCTTGGATTTGGTCAGGGAAATCGACAACTGCGCAGGCGCAAGAGGCAAAAAACCCGAAGCTTCACTAGCCATCTTAACTAGGGGCAAGTTTCTCCTTTTTTTTCCTCCCTCCAGTCTCGCTCGAAGGAGGAAAGCGGGCGGGAAGGAGCGAGTCGGAGTCGTAGAAACACTTTGGCCTGGTTTTGTGCCGCAAAGATTTGAAATAATCAGCGTGAGAGAGGAGAAGGTGCCCTCAACAAAGACGGCGGAAGAAAAAAGAAGGCAAGCCTAGGTGACAAAAGAAGGCGGGGCCTGAGGGAAGAGGAAGGGAGGGGGAGGCGTGACGCACAAAGGCTGCGACGCCTGGAGCTGGAGGAGGCAGGTAAGGCAAAGCAGCCTCTCTCAGGCCTCTTTAGTAACATTGCAATGTAAAAATACTAATATCTTATATATAATATTAAAAATGTTGTTATATATATAATACAATACTACTAATAATATCTTATAATCATATATTTATACTACATGTAATATTACTAATAATAGTACAATATAATGTTATAGTACAACATAGTAATATTTAATACTGATATTGTACTATACTAATAATATAATATATTGTGTGTGTGTGTGTATATATATATATCTTGTAAGCCTCTGAATTCCTTTGGGGTGAGAAGGGTGGCATATAATTGTCGTAAATAAATAAATGAACTGATGATAGAGTGCAATATATAATATAATACTAAAAGTATAATATACTGATAGTGTATTAGATATATTGTGGTATAATAATATAGTACAATGTTATATATATATATATATATATATTATTTATCGTGTCATCCGCAACCAGAACATTGTATTACAATTCTAACAGAACAAAACAAACAAACAGATTTAAAAACACACAAATTTTGCAAACTTGGTAGCTGATTAAATGTCCTTTGACCAATATCTGGCCACTTGGAGTGCCTCTGGTGTTGCCGCAAGAAGGTCCTCCATTGTGCATGTGGCAGGGCTCAGGTTGCATTGCAGCAGGTGATCAGTGGTTTGCTCTTTTCCACACTCGCATGTCGTGGATTCAACTTTGTAGCCCCATTTCTTAAGATTGGCTCTGCATCTCGTGGTGCCAGAGCGCAGTCTGTTCAGCGCCTTCCAAGTCGCCCAGTCTTCTGTGTGCCCAGGGGGGAGTCTCTCATCTGGTATCACCCACGGATTGAGGTGCTGGGTTTGAGCCTGCCACTTTTGAACTCTCGCTTGCTGAGGTGTTCCAGCGAGTGTCTCTGTAGATCTAAGAAAACTATTTCTTGATTTAAGTCGTTGACGTGCTGGCTGATACCAAAACAAGGGATGAGCTGGAGATGTCTCTGCCTTGGTCCTTTCACTATTGGCTGCTACTTCCCGGCGGATGTCAGGTGGTGCAATACCGGCTAAGCAGTGTAATTTCTCCAGTGGTGTAGGGCGCAGACACCCTGTGATAATGCGGCATGTCTCATTAAGAGCCACATCCACTGTTTTAGTGTGGTGAGATGTGTTCCACACTGGGCATGCGTACTCAGCAGCAGAGTAGCATAGCGCAAGGGCAGATGTCTTCACTGAATCTGGTTGTGATCCCCAGGTTGTGCCAGTCAGCTTTCATATGATATTGTTTCTAGCACCCACTTTTTGTTTGATGTTCAGGCAGTGCTTCTTGTAGGTCAGAGAACAGTCCAGAGTGACTCCCAGGTATTTGGGTGCGCTGCAATGCTCTAGTGGGATTTCTTCCCAGGTAATCCCCAGAGCTCGGGATGCTTGTCTGTTCTTAAGGTGAAAGGCACATGTCTGTGTTTTAGATGGATTGGGAATCAGCTGGTTTTCCCTGTAATAGGCAGTTAGAGCACCTAGAGCTTCGGAGAGCTTCTGTTCAACCATCTCAAAGCTCCCTGCTTGGGCGGTGATGGCACGATCATCAGCAGAGATGAAACTCTCTGTCCCTTCTGGCAGTGGCTGGTCATTTGTGTAGATGTTGAACATGGATGGAGCGAGCATGCTCCCCTGAGGCAAGCTGGTCTTCGGTTTCCGCCATCTGCTTCTCTGGCCCTGGAACTCAACAAAAAAGCTCCTGTTTTGTAGCAGGTTTCCTATGAGACGGGTGAGGTGGTAGTCCTTTGTGATGTTATACATTTTTCTCAGGAGAAGGTGGTGGTTCACAGTATAATAAGCCGCTGACAGGTCTATGAAGACAGCTCCTGTGATCTGCTGCTTTTCAAAGCCATCTTCTATGTGCTGAGTCAGGTTCAGCACTTGCGATGTGCAGCTTTTGCCTTTCCTGAAGCCAGCTTGCTGTGGAATCAGACATGGGTCTATTTTTTTCCATAATTCTATGCAGAATAAGTCTCTCCGGAACTTTGTAGAGGTGGCACAGCAGGGAGATTGGTCTATATATAATATTTATTTATTTAAAATATTTATATCCCGCCCTTCTCCTCACAAGGGGAACTCAGTGCGGCCTCACATGAGCATCAGAGGATGCTAACAGCATAAATACCATAAAATTACAATTCACAATAAAATCATTTTAAAACGTTGTACATCACCAGTAAGATTTAACAATAAATTAATAGATTAACGTGTCAGTAAAAACCAAGCCAAGCCAGGGGAATCCATGTCACAAAATCCAAATTTCCGTTTCCTATTGCCGCTGGCCTCTAATCGAACGCCTGGCCCCAGAGCCAGGTCTTCAGTTGTCTTCTAAAGGACAGGAGGGAGGTGGCCAACCTGATGTCCTTAGGGAGAGAGTTCCACAGACGGGGGCCCACTGCTAAGAAGGCCCTGTCTCTTGTCCCCACCAACCGCGTTTGCGAGAGTGGTGGGATTGAGAGCAGGGCCTCTTCTGATGATCTTAAGCTTCATGATGGTTCATAGCAGGAGATACGTTCGGACAGGTAATTGTATATTATATGTAACATGTAATGTTACTAATAATATTTTTATTTTATTTATTTATATCCCGCTTTATCTCTCCATACGGAGAATCAAAGCTGCTCACAATCAAAACATTACAACTTCAAATCTACAAATATACAAAAATAAAACAGTATTGTATATTATGACTAGTAATTATATTTAACATATTAGTATTGCTACGTTACAGTATTATTATATATTATACTAGCTGTCCCCTGCCACGCGTTGCTGTGGCCCAGTCTGTTGATCTGGAAAAAAAAGTAATGAGAAAGTGTTGGTTTCTAATATATGTAATTTCTTTATGCTTGTGGGTAAACAGTATTTCTTATTGTTTCTTTGTCAGTGTTGATGTGGAGAGTGTCTGGTTTGCCCACCCTGGAACATGCAACATATCATTGTCCTTCTTTAAGGGTCCCCTTCAAATCTATGATACTATATCTGTGTGTGTGCGAATCATATCTATCTTTCTATCTATCTATATCTATGGCTGTATGGCCCTTTGTCAGGAGGACTTTGATTGTGTTTTCTTGCCCTGAGGAAGGGAGTTGGATTGGATGGCCTTGAGTATTTTCTGTTGGTCACGAGGGTTCTGTGTAGGAAGTTTGCCCTGATTCTGTCATTCGTGGGGTTCAGAATGCTCCTTGATTGTAGGTAAACTGTGAATCCCAGTGACTACAACTCCCAAATGTCAAGGTCTATTTCCCCCAAACTCCATCTGTGTTCATATTTGGGCTTTTTGAGTGCTTATGCCAAGTTTGGTCCAGATCCGTCATTGTTTGAGTCCACAGTGCTCTCTGGATGTAGGTGAACTATTATTTATTATTTATTTATTTACCTTACTTATATACCGATGTTCTCAGCCCGAAGGCGACTCACAGCGGTTCACAACAAATACGAACAGCAAAAATTCAGTGCTACAGTATAGAAACAGTTAACAACCTAACACATTACACAATTAATAAACAGTTACTACAATACCCATTCACTGTCGTCTTGTCATCAAAAACATGTTCCAGATTCGTCGTCCATTGTTCCATTCCAGTGTTCATTAACCAATCATTGCACTAATTATTGGAACGCCTGCTCAAACAGCCAGATCTTCACTTTTTTGCAGAATACCATTAGAGATGGTGCTAGTCTAATGTCCGTAGGAAGGGCGTTCCACAGCCGAGGAGCCACCACCGAGAAGGCCCTATCTCTCGTCCCCGCCAGCCGAGCTTGAGAAGCAGGCGGGATCGAGAGCAGGGTCTCCCCGGAAGATCTCAAAGTCCTGGTGGGTTCATAGGCAGAGATGCGGTCGGATAGGTAGCTTGGGCCGGAACCGTTTAGGGCTTTAAAGGCCAACGCCAGCACTTTGAATTCAGCCCGGTAGCAGATCGGTAGCCAGTGGAGTTGGCGCAACAGGGGGGTTGTATGCTCCCTGCGCTCCGCTCCTGTTAAAATCATGGCTGCCGAGCGTTGGACTAGTTGGAGCTTCCGAGCTGTCTTCAAAGGCAACCCCACGTAGAGAGCGTTGCAGTAGTCTAAATGGGATGTAACCAGAGCGTGGACTACCGTGGCCAAGTCAGACTTCCCAAGGTACGGGCGCAGCTGGCGCGCAAGCTTTAGCTGTGCAAATGCTCCCCTGGTCACCGCCGAGACCTGGGGTTCCAGGCTCAGCTATGAGTCCAGGGTCACACCCAAGCTGCGAACCTGCATCTTCAGGGGGAGTGCGACCCCGTCCAACACAGGCTGTAACCCTATGCCCTGTTCGGCCTTGCAACTGACCAGGAGTACCTCTGTCTTGTCTGGATTCAATTTCAATTTGTTCGCCCTCATCCAGACCGTCACAGCGGCCAAGCACCGGTTCAGGACCTGGACAGCCTCCTTAGTAGCAGGTGGAAAGGAGTGACAGAGTTGGACATCATCCGCGTACAGATGACACCGTACCCCGAAACTTCGGATGATCTCCCCCAGCGGCTTCATGTAGATGTTAAACAACATGGGAGACAATATTGAGCCCTGAGGAACCCCACAAGACAATGGTTGTGGGGTTGAACAGGTGTCCCCCAACAACACCTTCTGAGATCGACCCTCCAGGAATGACCGGAGCCACTGCAAAACAGTACCTCCAAGACCCATCCCTGCGGAATGACCGGAGCCACTGCAAAACAGTACCTCCAAGACCCATCCCCGCGAGGCGTCCCAGAAGGATACCGTGGACGACGGTATCGAAGGCCGCTGAGAGATCCAGCAGCACCAACGGACACACTCCCCCTGTCGAGCTCCCGCCGCAGATCATCCACTAAGGCGACCAAGGCTGTCTCGGTACCATGTCCTGGCCTAAAGCCAGACTGTGCCGGGTCTAGATAATCCGTATCTACCAAGCATACCTGGAGTTGTGAGGCCACCACACGTTCCAAGACTACAACTACAACTCCCAAACTGAAGGTC